TTCTACATTCCCTGGCAGTGTCAGCTACTTCCAAACCGACTTGAAGGAAAAGGACCGGTAAGTTTTCCAAATGGTTTTCAAGTTTTCAATGAGTTTTTACTGATTTGTGTTTACCCTAAACTAAAAACGTCATCATATCATATGGAGAAAATGTTGATTTTGTAATACTCGCAGATTAAGTTAAATAAAGATGGAACCTTTCAGCATCTGGTTTACAAATATTTACCCACGATGACATGGGAATTGATAATCGAGTAATAATTTGAACATTCCCTTGAAAGATTACTCAACATTTTTCAGAGCGGAATTTCTTGCTACTAGATAGCTCATCACATCAAAATTTAGTTTTCCGGAAAGTTGAGCTATACGAATTACTGAGTAATGATAGAAAAAACCGCAATCCTTAGAAAGAGGCTCGATTGCTTCATTTGGAAAGAACAAGATTCAAACTCGTTAGTACCTTTCGAAAATTAAAGCTCGAAGCTTGATGGGTTATATTTGGTTGTAGGATTCACAATCAGTGTCTTAATATAGTACAACAGATTCCAGATTGGGCTTCACGTTGATCAAACTTTAATCCCTTCCATCGAAGGAACCCAACGGATTGCATATATATATATATATATATATATATATATATATATATATATATATATATATATATATATATATATATATATATATATATATATATATATATATATATATATATATATATATATATATATATATATATTCTCACGTATTGATTCACGGATGGAAAAATGTGATGACACTATATTCCGGGACATCATCCGTTCGCTCGTTGAACTCCGACTGGAATCCTGCATCCGACTGGAATCCTGCAGGATTCCAGTCGGATATATATATATATATATATATATATATATATATATATATATATATATATATATATATATATATATATATATATATATATATATATATATATATATATATATGATGACACTATATTCCGGGATATCATCCGTTCGCTCGTTGAACTCCGACTGGAATCCTGCAAATCTTGCATCCGACTGGAATCCTGCAGACGTTTCGCCAAAATCTCACTTGGCATCTTCAATGCTCGCGCTCCGAAAACACTTCGAACACTGGGAGGTTATCGGCGGTGCGTGCGATATTTATACTCTGCGCCGAAGATGGTAACGGTGCTGCTTGTGCGTGGGGGGAGGTGGCTCCGCCCCCTGAATTGTCGCGTTGTTAGTTTCGCCCGATCGTAGTTGCGATGTCCCCGTTGGCTGCTGCGCATCGCTCTGCTGTTTGATTATCGTTCTCCACGTGTTGGATAAATGCAGAGCGTCGTCTCTCGTATTGAGGTGTCCGGACTTTTCTATTTCGATGGCCTCTCGTATAATCCTAGTCCTAAAATCAGGAATATTAGCTATTTGTTTGCAAGTGCCGAAATCAATTTTATGGCCTGTCTGATGTTGGTGCTGAAACAAAGCAGATGTTGTTTGTTTGTTTCTTATGGCTAAACGATGTTCCTCGAGCCTGGCTGAAATCCTTCTGTTGGTCTGTCCCACATACGTCAGGCTGCACGATCCGCATGCTACACTGTATACTCCTTGGTTTTCCAGAGTAATTTTTTGTTTTGGGTTTCTTAGTATTGCTCCGATGGTATGGTCAGGTTTGTATGCCGTTGATATGTCGTATTTCCGTAATATTCGGCCGATTTTGTCAGTAACCCCCTTGATGTATGGCAGGACAGCGATCGATCTTCGTTGGGTCTCGTCCTGCACTCTCTGCTGCGGCTGTTGTTGTTTACCGATTGCCTTGCTGATGGTGCGCCTTTGGTATCCGTTTTGTTGAAGACAGGTACTAATTTTCTTCAGTTCTTTATCTCTGTTCCTCTCGTTTGTGAGCCTGAAGGACCGAGCAATTAATGTATTTGCCACTGCCTGTATCTGTGATGGGTGGTGATGAGATTTAGCGTTCAGATATCTATTAGTGTGTGTTGGTTTTCTATAGACAGTGTGTTCCAAGTGTCCATCTTCGGTCCTTGTGATGTGCACATCTAAAAAGGGCAGACTGTTATCCTCTTCAAGTTCTATTGTAAATTGAATCCTTGGGTGAATGGAATTCAGATGATCTAGGAATTTCAAAAGCTCCTCCTTGCCAAAAGGCCATACAACAAATACGTCATCAACGTATCTTGTCCATAGTTTTGGCTTCAGATTTGCCTTCTCTATTGCTTTCTTTTCGAAGTAAATCATGAAGAGGTTGGCAATCACAGGTGAGAGAGATGATCCCATTGCTGCTCCATCTATTTGTCGGTAAATTTTCCCGTTGTGCATAAAGTAAGCGTTTTTCAGGCAATGTCTTGACAGATCCATTATGTATGGCGGAAGATCTTCGTTTTCTTCTATAAGCAAGAGTGCCTCTTCTACTGGAATACTCGGGTAGAGGGATTTGACATCGAAACTTGCCATAATGTCGTCCTTGTCCATCCTGAGAGAACCTAAAATCTGAGTAAAATGTTCTGAGTTTTTAACATAGGAATCTGCCTTTTCCACTATAGGCTGAAGTGCACTGGCCAGATGTTTTTCCAGCTTGCATAATGGTGAGTTAAAGGCGCTTACGATTGGACGCAGGGGAACCCCGTCCTTATGGATCTTTGGGAGCCCGTAGAATTTTGGGCAACGACTCGATTTTTCCCTCGGAATAAGTTTCTTCTTTGTATCCTCGTTTATTGATGAATCGAGAATTTTGGACTTAGTTGTTTTTTCCAAATATGTCGTGGGATCTCTGGTGACGACATATTTGGAAAAAACAACTAAGTCCAAAATTCTCGATTCATCAATAAACGAGGATACAAAGAAGAAACTTATTCCGAGGGAAAAATCGAGTCGTTGCCCAAAATTCTACGGGCTCCCAAAGATCCATAAGGACGGGGTTCCCCTGCGTCCAATCGTAAGCGCCTTTAACTCACCATTATGCAAGCTGGAAAAACATCTGGCCAGTGCACTTCAGCCTATAGTGGAAAAGGCAGATTCCTATGTTAAAAACTCAGAACATTTTACTCAGATTTTAGGTTCTCTCAGGATGGACAAGGACGACATTATGGCAAGTTTCGATGTCAAATCCCTCTACCCGAGTATTCCAGTAGAAGAGGCACTCTTGCTTATAGAAGAAAACGAAGATCTTCCGCCATACATAATGGATCTGTCAAGACATTGCCTGAAAAACGCTTACTTTATGCACAACGGGAAAATTTACCGACAAATAGATGGAGCAGCAATGGGATCATCTCTCTCACCTGTGATTGCCAACCTCTTCATGATTTACTTCGAAAAGAAAGCAATAGAGAAGGCAAATCTGAAGCCAAAACTATGGACAAGATACGTTGATGACGTATTTGTTGTATGGCCTTTTGGCAAGGAGGAGCTTTTGAAATTCCTAGATCATCTGAATTCCATTCACCCAAGGATTCAATTTACAATAGAACTTGAAGAGGATAACAGTCTGCCCTTTTTAGATGTGCACATCACAAGGACCGAAGATGGACACTTGGAACACACTGTCTATAGAAAACCAACACACACTAATAGATATCTGAACGCTAAATCTCATCACCACCCATCACAGATACAGGCAGTGGCAAATACATTAATTGCTCGGTCCTTCAGGCTCACAAACGAGAGGAACAGAGATAAAGAACTGAAGAAAATTAGTACCTGTCTTCAACAAAACGGATACCAAAGGCGCACCATCAGCAAGGCAATCGGTAAACAACAACAGCCGCAGCAGAGAGTGCAGGACGAGACCCAACGAAGATCGATCGCTGTCCTGCCATACATCAAGGGGGTTACTGACAAAATCGGCCGAATATTACGGAAATACGACATATCAACGGCATACAAACCTGACCATACCATCGGAGCAATACTAAGAAACCCAAAACAAAAAATTACTCTGGAAAACCAAGGAGTATACAGTGTAGCATGCGGATCGTGCAGCCTGACGTATGTGGGACAGACCAACAGAAGGATTTCAGCCAGGCTCGAGGAACATCGTTTAGCCATAAGAAACAAACAAACAACATCTGCTTTGTTTCAGCACCAACATCAGACAGGCCATAAAATTGATTTCGGCACTTGCAAACAAATAGCTAATATTCCTGATTTTAGGACTAGGATTATACGAGAGGCCATCGAAATAGAAAAGTCCGGACACCTCAATACGAGAGACGACGCTCTGCATTTATCCAACACGTGGAGAACGATAATCAAACAGCAGAGCGATGCGCAGCAGCCAACGGGGACATCGCAACTACGATCGGGCGAAACTAACAACGCGACAATTCAGGGGGCGGAGCCACCTCCCCCCACGCACAAGCAGCACCGTTACCATCTTCGGCGCAGAGTATAAATATCGCACGCACCGCCGATAACCTCCCAGTGTTCGAAGTGTTTTCGGAGCGCGAGCATTGAAGATGCCAAGTGAGATTTTGGCGAAACGTCTGCAGGATTCCAGTCGGATGCAAGATTTGCAGGATTCCAGTCGGAGTTCAACGAGCGAACGGATGATATCCCGGAATATAGTGTCATCACATTTTTCCATCCGTGAATCAATACGTGAGAATATATATATATATATATATATATATATATATATATATATATATATATATATATATATATATATATATATATATATATATATATATATATATATGTTTTCGGAGCGCGAGCATTGAAGATGCCAAGTGAGATTTTGGCGAAACGTCTGCAGGATTCCAGTCGGATGCAGGATTTGCAGGATTCCAGTCGGATGCAGGATTCCAGTCGGAGTTCAACGAGTGAACGGATGATATCCCGGAATATAGCGTCATATATATATATATATATATATATATATATATATATATATATATATATATATATATATATAAATGTTTTCTAGTTTTGTCCTTTAAATAAGGATTGGATTATTTTATATCTAAATATTCAATGAGACAAGCAATGAAAATGAATGTTTATTGTAGCCTAATCAAAAATTGTTAAGCTGCATCGCACGTATCGACCAAACATTTGGTTTTTATAATTTTCTGATAGTAGTAATACGATGATTTGGGCGTCCTCGTTCTGTTTGGACTGCTGAAGTCGACGTACACCAATCCAAATTTGGCCCTATCAAAAATAATTGTTACAAACGGGTTCAAAGTACACTTAAGAGAAGAAAAATTAATAATAATTAGAATTTTGAGTGACCGATACTCACATGTAGCCAGATAACCACTCGAAATTATCGTAGATGCTCCACTGGGAATATCCGATCACGTTGACGCCATCATCATATATCGCTTCCAAAAGTGCGGTTAAGTAATCCTTAAAAAATATTCTTGTGTTAAGCTGATTAATGCCTTGCTCACATTTAAATTTACGAAAACTTATTCTAACATCAAGAAAAAAAAAAGATTCAGATTATTGCTTCCACAATTGTTCGTTTGTTGTTTTTATTATCTTGGTGCAATAGTCCTCTTTGAGAAGGAGACGGTGTTAATAGGATCACTATATAGATCACCGAATGGATATGTCAAAGGGTTCTTAGATTATCCTGTAGAAAAATTAATTGACCAGAAACACAGGACATATTTTTTGGGAGATTTAAATATCGATTATTTGAAAAATAGTAATGACTCCAAAAACTTCAGTCCGTTGTTAATTCGACTGATTTTAAGCAAATAGTAACAAAAGAAACACAAGTTACCGTAAGTTCAGCTACACCAATTGATCAGATAATAACAAATGACTTCAATGTAGAGGAGGCCCCGAGAAACTTTCCTGTCATCAGTGACCACGAAACTATTGGCGTTCAGGTGGAAGTTCGAAGCAAGACACTAGTAAGTGAGGATGTTTATATCAGAAATCTGAGTTCTCAAAATACTAATCAAATGCGGGAAGCACTTATTGGTCAAAAAATATATGGGGATTTTATAGGAATTGTACAGGGAGCGCTTGATAGGATATATCCGCTCCGCAAGACCCAACCAAGAAAATATCCCTGGTTTTCATATTCGATAGGACAGGCGCAACATGTTAGGGACATTGCTTACAAAAAGTTTAAATACGCCAAAAGTGAAGAAGACTGGGAAGGATATAAAAGAAAAAGAAATAACGTTATTTCAGTTATCAGAAATGAAAAACAAAGATACTATAACCAAAAATTTGATGATTGCAAAGGAAATGGAAAGAAAATGTGGCAGACATTAAAAGGACTTGTTGGAAATAAAAATAAAAAAGCAGATTTTACCAATATTGATTTTGGACGTTACAGTGACAAAGAAGAAGAAAACATGAATAACTTTTATGCCGATAGCTTAAATGAAATAGCAGAGACTATATAAAAGAAGCAATGGCACTCTGTGTGTGACATGGTCAGCTGTAGCTTGTCTTGCTTTAAAAAAATAACTATATCGGAGCTTGAAAAAACTGTAAATAACTTAAAAAACAGAAGTACAAGTGACTCTGTTCTAAATATTAAGCTCGTCAAGGATTTATTTTGTGTAATAGGTTATCCGTTGTTACCTTTGGTGAATGCGTCTTTAAGTGTTAAAACCAAAAATACCTGGTGATTTTCTACCAATTAACTTGCTGCCAGTAGTGGATGAAATCCTGGAAACGATAGTGTGTCGGCAGTTGAAAGACTACCTGGAGCGGAACTGCCTACTCTACAGTGGACAGTCTGGTTTCAGGAGCAAACACTGGTGCGAATCTGCGTTGCAATATATGTGTGCAGTGTGGCGGAAAGACATGAATGAATCAAAACTAATTCTGAGTGTTTTCGTAGATTTTAAACGTGCATTTGAGACTATTGACAGGGACATTCTTATTACAAAATTAATAATAATGTTTCTAGTCATCAAAGTTTCACCGGTATAAGTTCCTGCCAGTGCAAAATTTAACCGATGAACATAAAAGGCAGATGCTCGGGTTTTGCACTGAAATGTATAGAAAATCTCAAGAAGACGGACATTTTCTAAACACAATAATATTTACGGATGAGGCTTCCTTCACAATAGCAGGTGTATTTAATAGGAAGAATAAACATTTTTGATCCACCGATAATCCACACAAAATGCAGGCAGTGAAAATCCAAGGACGGACGGAATTATATATGAAGGATCCTAGAATGGCCAACAATATTTAAATTTCCTTGCAACAGAAAGAGAATAATTGTTATGGATGTATTAAATATTTAATTTCATTTTGGCATCAAGATAGGACATAATGTTCAACCGGTTACCGATTATCTAAATAATAAATTAGACTTTGCATAGGTAGGCAAGGAACTATCAACTGGCCTGCCAACAGCCCCGAGCTGAATCACTGTGACATTTTTTTGTTTTATTTTTATTTTATTTATTTATTTAGCAATTGGCAAGTAAAGACTGTCACTAAACGTAAAAAAGACAAAATTTATGATAATATCAAAAACAGCACAAAACAATTCACAAATTCATATAAATAACCACTCCATAGAAAATGTTGACAGTTATAAATATTTAGGTACAATTGTAAATAAAAATAACGACTGCTCTGAAGAAATCAAAACTAGAATAGGACAGGCGAGAACAACATTTGTGAAAATGAAAAGAGTGCTCTGTGGCAGCGATGGTGTAGAGGCTTGGACTCTGAAGAAACTGGACATAAGGAAACTGGAGGCGTTCGAAATGTGGTTGTACCGTAGAATACTTAAGGTAAAATGGACCGGTAAAGTGACCAACATGGAAATCCTGAAAAGAATAAAAAAGAAAAAAGAAATTGTCATTACGGTAAAAAAGCGCAAACTTCAGTACCTTGGACACGTCATGAGAGGAGAAAAGTTCCAACTACTCCAACTGATATTACAAGGAAAAATTCAAGGCAAGAGAAGTGTAGGAAGAAGGCGTCACTCATGGATGAGAAACTTACGTGACTGGTTCGGGTGCACCACAAACCAACTATTTCGGTCGGCTGTGTCACGAATACGAATAGCACTGATGATTGCCAACCTTCGCAATCAAATGCTGGAGGTTTACCATTAATTATTGACATTTTTATTGTTTAAATAATATAATTTTATTTGGCGTTCTTCTTCCTCAGTATAACCCATTTCAAATATCTTACGCTGCATGTCTTTAATTTTGATTAGTTTTCAAAACTAGGACAATGTTAAAACAATTGCAAACATAGATAGAAATAGAAATATCTCAAAAACTAAAGGAAATGTGAATAAACTTTATGTTTTTGAAATCTTAAAACTTTTGTAGTGCCACTTTTTTTTTCTATCAAAATTAACCTTGTAGGTGGGTTTCAAAGTATAATGAATCACCCCGTACAGGACAGAATGAGAGCCAGTTTCAGTTAATCTCTGAAGAAGCCGACGGGATGACTTGGGAAACGTCAGTGATTTCGATTCAACGATAACCGACGCAGGAGACGCCCGAAAGTTTCGTAAATAGTTTATCAATCACTTCATCCATAAGCATTTTCCAGTCAAACGTACTTGTATGTAAGATATACGCTGGGGGTCCTCTCGACTGGTCCCGTCGTCGGCCCAACCATTTTCGGTTACTAGAATAGCGGGATGTCCGTAGCTCTGGTCGATCCAGTTGAGCATTTTTCTGAATCCCCAGGGCACTGACCGTAACCAAGTCATGTTCGATTGAGGCCAGCTGGGATCGGTGGTCCGTAACACTCCCCTGTCAGCGTCGAAGCTCGGATACTCGGTGACATTCGTAACGTTGTAGGCGAACGAGACCAATTCCGTTGTGTAACTGAAAAAACGTCAAGTTATGCACACCGTATCTTCCTGTGTCGTCTCTTAAGCAAGAAGCAGGAAATTTTATTACGAGAGCGCTATAAAAGAGGAGAGCTCCAATGGCGTTATTTAAGTGGATACAAAACAGTCTTAGAAACAAGAAAATAATAAGTACTATACAACCATAAAGACAGCACAAGGTGGATTTCTCTGCCCTCTGCTATGGGCCATACTACTTCACGACCTGCTGGAACAGAACAGAACTGAAACCGCTAAGGAAAATATTAAGGCTTATCTGGAAAACACACATTCAAACGATCACCTTTAGGACAACAATTGTACTAGAAAGGTGCAGAAGGATGTGTGGAAAAAAATATTGCCTAACCTCAACAGTAGCAAAAGCCATTGGTTAGTGTATGAAACAGTTGGACAAGACAATGACAAGATTCATGTAAACAAATCCACTGCAGAGCTAGAGGTTCTACTGTATATTCCATCAAAACATGACAAGCTCGACAGGGAGATTAAGATTAGTATCGCTTCCTTAACATTACATGACTAAAATAATGTCTGCGTGAAAAAATTGTAAAAATGGCTCACAATAATCTCCAGGCTGAAAAACTAAAGGAGCAGTAGCTGGAATTTATGAAACTGAAATAGTAAGTAAAAGTAAGTGCAAGTAAAATGGAAATAAAAAAGATAGTGATCACATAATTGCGATCTATACCGACAGTCAAGCAATAAAAGCTATGCAACCAAGCAAAATATCATCTATGTTAGTTCTGGATTAAACCGGATAGCAAGTAGCACGCAAAGGCTAGTCAAGGTTGCAAAAATAGCCATTGCAGAATGGATGGGAAGAGAATCCCGGCAATGGTGTGGGAACATCCGATTGCTCCCAAACCCGTGCAGTAAAACCCCGGAAATGTCCGAAGCGGCTCGAATCCGTGGGAAACGAAACTGACGTGGTAAACTGACGCTTCCCGCACGCCAGATCGGTGTGTAATTAGGTATTCTGCGGCCGGGACACGTTCGGTAAACTTTTTAAGTCGCTCGTGTGTAATTTTTTTGCTAGATAGTTGCCATATATTGCGTACTTTGGTCTGCAACGCAAAAAATTAATTGTGACTTTGCCAATAGCTAGAGAGCTTTATCTACGTTAATCTCTCTGATTATCTTAAAAACATGATTGTGTTATTGTGAATAACCTACTGATTGAGGCCAAAGTAATCGGCCGTTCCCTTAATGTAGTCAATTTCTTCCTGGGTGAATTCGGGCAGTCTCGATCTGGGGTAGCCCTCGAGTTTGCTCCTTTCCGCCACCCTATCGATGGCTACCTGAGGCCAGTTTCCATTAAAGATAGGATTCGCCAGCAGTCCCATCTAAAAAATTTTTTGTTGTTTTCAAAGCAGTTTACCCCACTCAAATTTGTTTTTGTTACTTTGGCAACTAATGTTCATGTTCATTTTATATTATCTGGTTATCTTATTTAGTTTAATTTATGTTAGAGAGAGAATTGTAAAAAGTTCTACCCCTCAGTCTGCAGAGATGCAATAAGAAAAACATTTAAACATACTGTATCTGAAAAAATGAATAGAAAAAAATTTAAAGACCCAGTCAATTATCAAACACTAATGGGACCTTTAGATATGATTGCATTTATTAGATATCTAAAAGCAAAGGTGCATATCACAACCCAAAAGGGATATGCAGTCTTATAAAATGATGGTAATATCTTGCTATCTCAGGTCTAAAACCTTGTTGCATTTTATCGGTAGTCTTGTTCAAAAAACCATCAAGATCGTTACACATTGGCACAGTGTTCTTTATGCAAATAGTACTGATGAGAAAATATGACATTTAAATGACTATGTAGTGAATCGATTTGACAAACTTGCATCTGTTAAAAAAATTGCAAACAAAGTAATTACTCAATTAATTAATTAATTAAAATTATTAGAAAAACTAAGGAACAAAGCATTAAAAAAATTGAATCCAAAGTTTCTGTAAGTTATAATTACTATAAACTTATTAAGAACTGAAAATGGCAGTTAGGAGAGAAGAAAAAATTATTTTGGAAACAAAATTTCCAAATTTCAATTCTAGAAAGAAGTGGCGTGAACTAAAAACTATGAAAATCAATGTTAAAAAGAGCCCTATTTCTTGCATTAATAGGAGGAATATGAAAACCAACAGATGCCAGAAGATCTGGTGAATCCAGCGCGTATTCTCCAAAGATGTCAGATTCAAAAGCTTCATAATCTCCGCGTAGTTTATTTCCTCAAATGACATTCCCAATCTAAAAGCTATCCCTCTAAGGAACTTACGCTGCGCACGCTCTATTCTTACCTTTGTGAATTGCATAGTAGGGTTCCCAGACACAGCTAGCATAAAATTGAACGCACAAGCGCTCTGTACAGCTCCCTATACGTAAAGATGTTCTCAAAACCCTTCAAAGTCCGAAAAACAAACCCAAGCAATCGAATAGCTCTGTTAGTAATAAAATCAATGTGATGTGTAAATATGAGCTCCGAATCGAGCAAAACTCCAAGATGTTTAACTAGGTGATAGGTGAAAGTTACTGGATTTTTGGATCTGCCAAAGTTTACAATTTTGCACTTGTTTGTATTATGAGTTAAATTGTTCTGTCTGCACCACAAAGAAAACCTATCATGATCCTCCTGTAATCGATGACAGTCAAGAGGTGATGTTATAACCTAAAAGGCTTTAAATCGTCCTGCAAGGAATTGGCAAAAGCGAAAAATATTTTGACATAGTGACATGATCGCCAACTCTACCTTCAAATATTTTCGAAAACAAGCAGATTTTAGAGATTGGGAGTCCTGTCACCATCTTTGAAAATGGGTGTAACACAAGATTTTTTCCAATATGAAGGAAAAACGAAGCAGCTTAGGAAAATTTTAAAAATTTTACATAAAATTTCAGATTGAACGAGTTTACAATTCTGTCGGGTCCTAACGTTTGCTTTAAAATACTTATCCTATTGAAAACATCGACAACATTTAATTTTAAAAGTCCTAGACTAGCAGATTTATCACAAGAAAATGATTTATTGCATTCTGCATATTCTGAATAGATTGAGGTAAAATGTTGGTTGAACATATCCGCCACTCTCTGAGTGTCGCTGATAATTTCATCATCAAGCGACATGCATTGTGGATACTCAAGGTTTTTCTTCTTTGAGTTCACATATCGCGAAAAGGACTTTTTATCAGTTACTTGATTTTCAAGCATCCCGATGTAGTCTCTATGTGAAGAAACAGATAAATTTCTACACTGATCCCTCACTTGAGAAAAAAACACGATAGTCCTACATACTACAGGGTAAGATATGTACAGTACCTCAAACTGAAGAGCTAAATTTTGTCCTTCCTTGTCGGCATCGCTGTCGCTCGCAGGTTCTTTCCAGTGGGCTACCAGTACAATGGAAATATTTCCTGGAATCGCATTAGCAACAATTAGGCATACAAAGATAATCGCAAAAGTCGCAACTAACCTTGTTGCTTCTGTCTAAACTCGTCATCGTAAATGTGGTAAGCTTTGGCGTGAGCTTTCAACACCACGTAGTTGCATTGGTAGACTGCTTCGGCTGGGAGATCATAGCCGGGAGCTTTACGTAGAGGTCCTTGATACGACAACATGCAAAAGCTCTGGGGTTCGTTGAAGGTGTGCCATTGTTTCACCTGATCCCCGAATAATTCAAAAGCTAGCCTGGCGTAATCAGCGAAGTAGTCGACCAATAGAGGATTGGTCCAGCCTCCGATCTCTGATAGGGTGAGTGGAACGTCCCAGTGGTACAGTGTCACGACAGGTACGATTCCATTGTCGATGAGAAGCTGATTTAAATGGAATAGACATCATTAAACGTATGGACGAGACGCGTCGCAGATGAAATTGTCGAACCTGAGCAGGATACTTTCAACTAAACAACTCTTCGTACTATGACGAAAAGATGCGGAACAAAGATATGCATCGAAATGAAAAAAGAATGCGAAAATACAATTTGATAATATGACAAATTATTGACATGAATGTTATTCCGAAATCCACATTTTGGATAAATATGAATGAATGAAGCAAAAAAAAAACGTCATAAAAGTTTTTTTTATTCATAGATACATAGTAAATTGCAAAACATAAAAATCTTTATTTCAATAAATAATTCAACAATACCATTGATAAATTAACAAACTGTTTTTTGCAGTTTTAAAAACATTTGATAAATAATGTTTTTCAAAAATTTTATAAAAAAAAATGTCTTTTATCTGCAAACGTATATCTAAAAATCAAAAAACTTCTCCAAACATCTACAGAAGTTATTGTATAGTATTCTAGTTTTGGAACTAATTTATACAAAATCATTAATAATTTAATTAATTTATACAAATGCACTTCACTTTCGAAATTTGTGAAATTGGCTATAAAAACTTCTGAAATATATTTTTTAGAAGTACTTTTTTATACACGCAGCCCTTAATAATAGTACTTGGAACTTTTTTGCAATCTACCTCAAATTGACTTATGTAAGCCACTGAATTTGTCCAAGAACCAGAGATTCTAATTTCGCTCGCGAGAACTATAGGTACAGAGGAATAATTTGTTTTTCTTCTCCTCTATTGGCATGATTGCTTGTTTATCGTCACACGTTTCGGGTTTCTATTGATTTTTTTCTGTTGGTCGATTATTTCCTTTATGGTTGTGTGCCACATTAATTCGAAATTTATTTTTTGTTTATTGTTTTTATAAATATTACATTTTCTTTCACTGTTGGGCGATAAAAAACAGTTTATCACTTATTTTAATTGCTTAATTACCATGAGCCAAACAAGTAGGTTCAAATAAACTGTTTTTAAATTTTGTGCCTTATGGGGTGCAGTATCCGATAAAAGGAATTTTTTTGACGGAAAAGATCGTAGTGGCAAGATAAGCAAGCCCAAACCCATCTTAATTAGTTCTAGGAATTTGTGGACTCAAAAATCTGTTACACCAGAAAATTCTTCGTGATATTCCCTATGGTGCTTTATATTCTTAAGTGATATTTTTATTTTAAATGATTATGTTAAATAGCAACAGAATACATCAATTCAAAATAAATAACGAAGTTTAAACCTTAAATATTCCTTGGTCTAATGAATCAACTTCTGTAGGGTGGAAGTAAACATAGTTCCAGTAGAATCAATGTTAACTTATGAGCTACACTGTATGCTTTCACTGGATATGTTCTGCGATTCCAACGCTTCTGTCATTTATTCATGTTATCCGTTTTCCTAGTCAGTGAAATGGCTCTAATTTTTTTTTTAATAATATCAATTCTTGTACTCATTTATATAAATGGAAAGATGGAGTTTTCTGGTTGCATAATACTTTTATTTACATATAATTTAAGTAATAACATTTATTGTAATCAAATTTCGTAACACACAAAAAGAGGCAAAATTAATTTTCCTATTTAATTTGTTCTTGTTTAATTGACAAAGTAACCCTTTACGATTTAATTTAATCACGTAGAAAATTTGAGAAATTATATAGTTACCTGCCAGTATTATTTGATATAGCCACAGCACCGTTTATAATTAATGGAATCCCACTTACCTGAAAAACGGTGCGATAGTAGTCAACTCCCGCTTGATTGACGTGGTTCACTGTCCCTTCGGGAAGGATCCTGCTCCACGCGATCGATAATCTGTAGAAATTCACTCCGAGGTCCTTCAAAATTTCAATGTCTTCCTTATATTTGTGATACGAGTCGCAAGTGACGTCGGCATTAGTGCCGCCCTGTATACGGTCCGGATAGGTGTGGGTGTACCAGTCCCACAGGCTCTCCCCTTTCCCGTCTTCATTCCAGCCCCCTTCTATCTGATACGCTGCTGTCGTCACGCCAAACTTGAAATCGGCGGGAAAGGACCTGTTGCTTATGCCCGAGGCGTAGCTGATAACAATCGATGTGGTCAAATATTGTACATTTTATAGCAAAGTTGTATAATACGACCAAAAATATAGTGCGTTTATAGGTTTGACAGATGTTTATTCTGCATTAAGTAGGTCTTGCCTAAGCTGGACCGTAACGGATATTTGTAGAAAATTGAAATTTTTATTTGAATCGTAAATACTTATATCCCGCTTGTTCGTGTAGGTAGATAAATTCCTAGGACGGTCCTGGTAAGGATCTGCTCGGCAGGGTGTTCCATAAGGGTCCTAGAGTTTTGGGGTATTAAACAGTACGCAACGTTAATCACAGGGTCTGTTGTAAAAGCACTATATTTCTGGTGGAAGTATAACATAACTTTATTTTTTGGAAAAGGTGAATACAACAAACACCATCGAATATTTTCCACGACCCTATTTCCAAGACTTGACGACATCTAGTTGGATGTATGACGTATCGAATAAAGGTTGGTTTACGATAAAGACATGCACATTTGGTTTCACACATTCAGTGCCATTTCCTTAGAATGTGAAAACCTGTCACATGCTAAGGAAATGATGTTTTGGTTAGTCTTATGGGTAACACTGTTTAAGTTCAGAGGAGTTGGCAGATATGGCATTTTATGTATGGTTTGGATAATAGCTTGGCGATTATATCAAGAGAGCTTCATTAACAGAATCATACCAGATATGCGAACATTTTCGGATGTACTTGGAAGGTTGCCTGAAACAGGTCTCTTTGAAGGCAAGTAATCATTTAAAAGGGGCCCATCGGAATGTAAGAACCCCAGAAATTGAAAAAGCTGAAAATCCCGAACTTAGTACTAGGAAAATTAGAAATAATCTGAATATCTCGCACGTCTTGGTTTGGAAAATGTTGCAGGATTTTTTATTGTACCCATATCATATTCAACGAGCCCAATAATTTTTAGTTTAAGAGAAATCAGTGGCGTAACATCAATATTTGCCAAAATAGAACTTACGTACGTCCGCCACTGGTGTATTTTATAAAAGAAATGTGCTACACTATATACATTATATACTGTAGCACATTTTTTCAATTAAAAAACATCTTGTACACGTGTTTATTTTTTCGATGTACCACTGTGTTTTATTTTACAGCAAAATGTATGATGTGGAACTAAAGATATTATTATTATTATTATTATTATTATTATTATTATTATATATTCTTAAGATATAATATTGATTTATAATATTTGAGAAAATACGGAGGTTTTGCAATTTCAACATTTCTTAGTATAATGAACTCCTTGATGGTGAAACGTCAGCATTTTTAATTTCCTCAAATTGTTCAATTTATTGAATGAAACTAATGACACTAACCAAGCCCAGATAGTTGAAAATTTTGTTGTACTTCCTAAACTCACATTGAATTCAGAGATAAAATTGATGGCCTTGACAATCATGAGCAGTAAGTGGTATTAAAAATTAAATGTCAAAAATGAAGTGGTACTTTATATATATATACAAAAAAATACATTTTTTGTACGCCGCTGTGCTGTTCGTGCCCTAATTAATTTTAATTAATTAGGGCACGATTAATCATCATTTTTTAAACAAACAACCCACTTGATTCTGACAGAAAAATAATATTTATCTAATCTAGTCTTTTAATGTATTTCGAAGGCAACATTTATTTAAAAAAAAAAAACTTTGTTGAACCCGAATCGTGTTACGAAGAAATGCGAATTGCTTTGAAAGATGGAGAATGAAAAATTATGTTTTTCCTACCCCCTCGAACCCATGGGTTTAGCAGCGGTCGGATGTTGGTGGTAGATTTAAGCATTTATCAAACTTGTTGCAAAATGCAGTATTTAATACCATTGAACTTTGTCTTATTTTCCAAACCATAATTACATTATTATTATTGCCTCTACAATTTTTGTATTTATGTTATTTGGTATTAAGTATACATTCAATTAAAGAAGATTCACATGCAATATAATAAATCAACAAAATTCTAATTTTAACGATTAAATTACCCATTATGTTATGCATTTCGCAGAAACGATTCCACCTTCACTGGGTTGCTTGCGAAATTTGCGAGGTCAAATAGATTCTTCTAGAAATTTAAAATATTATCATCATTAAATCTATGGAAAAAACACTGACAAGCATTTTTTTAAGCACAAAAAAATCAGCCAGTCAGGTATCAATTATTTCACCACGTCCGTCTGATAAATTTTGAGGGGGCATCCACTTCATTCGATTTTTTCATTTTGTGTCGACACTTGTTCCAAATTATCTCAACTTTTAAACATAGATTTGATTAATAAAATTTGAAAAAATATTGTGATCCACCGCACTTTTTCACACAGTTTGAAAATATATGCTTATATGAGATTTTGCGTCCATGTGTAATAATAATAATAATAAATAAGCTTTTATTTGCAAACAATGCAGGGTTTATCAATACAAAAAAATCATATTAATATATTTGCGCAGTCAGAAAATAGTTTTAAAGAAATCAAAGTTCTGATCCAGTATGAAAAGTAAAACAGCATATTTGAAGTTGTGTAGAAAGAAGTCTTTGATATACTTTTTTTAAATGTTTGCGAGTTTCATCGTTTCCGAATTGTAATATTTATACATATTAATATCTTTCAAATATTTTCGTCCTGTGGCGAGGAGGTGTTATGAGACCTCCGAACTTTAAATTCAAATTATGCACATTGGTTGCATAAAAAATTGTTTTAAACAGGTGAAGTTGGCACTTATTCTGGATTATTTTTATACACACGCGCACACACACACACACACACACACACTGCATGAAGCTGAAGTCTTTTTTTGAATTCTGTCGGTATCTTCGTCCACATAGCTGAAATGGCTTAAAGCAATCTCAAATTTGTGTCCATAATATCTCCCAAGACTCTTAGCCTCTTTGTACAAATAATTCTAAACTATTCTCCAAATCGCCAAAGAGTTAGAGACACGACTTTACAACATTTATTTCTAGCTGAGATTATCGTGACTATACGAACTGGGTAAACTTTTGAAAAGCCGTCGTTGATTGGATAGTAAAAAGAAAAGAACATTAAATTATAAATAATAATTATAAATAATATAAGAAATACGTTAGTTCAAACAACCATAGAAAGGTGATACGTCAACTATACGGTTATATTACAAAATTTTCTCCTTCACTTCAAAGAATGCCGCCTGTTTATATAGAATCAGATGCACTTTATGATCATACATATTCCGTACTGATTGTTAAATTTCAAATAAAAGTAAATTCCAACAATTTTATATAATGATACGAAATAATCCAAAAATTAATTTCAAAACGAAAAAACCAGGGGTATAATCAAAAATCTGTATTTTATTGCATAAGCACCATAGTGCGCAATGGAAGTCTTCCTATATGGCAAAAAACGACTTAGATATCAGTTTACGGGGTCATAATTAGTCAATAATTATTCATTTTAAAGTTTCTGTAATGAGCACTAAAGTAGATACGCTGAACTACAACTATAATACAGGTAAATAAGTTAAGGGTTTGTTATCTGCAACGCACTACAACAGACCTAAAACCCTTGATCCAAAAACCATTTAACAAGTTTCAGATTAAAATAAAAAACTGAAATCTTACCTTACGGTAAATGCCAGCAGTATAACGGAACACTTCATGTTCATCGAATGGATTGGCTATACAAAATAGCTCTAATAATGTTGTATCGCGTCCTATCTAACCCAACTTCGAAATTAAGTCGATAGCGTTCAATGGATTTGAGGATATATTCGACCTGGAATTTGCATATCGCGAAGAATAAGATAAGGTTACTCACTTAATCGTAAATAATCAGAAAATTGTTACGGGTTAAATGTTTACCCACTCTAAAAGATTAACTATTGAGATATTCCTTATATTACATGAAATATTCACTTCTTTTTGAATTTATTGAATATTGAATTTTTGTCTTGGTTACATTTGCAGTTTACGGTTACATCTGCGTCTCCGTTTCTTCTCCTTTGTCTAAAACTAAACGCTTTTTTTCTCCCTCACCTAGACTGTTTGCTGTTTCTCTACTTCTACTTCTTCCACATTCCTTAATTTTTTTTTTGTATGTTTTATTAAATTCTACCCATGAAAAGTTCTTTTCTCGTTCATATAGTATATACTGCTAGTCAGAAAGGAGGGCAAATATTGGACAAGTTAAAATAAACCGCAAAGTATTATGAATGGGTACATGGCATACCTAACAATAGTAATAGCTTTTTGTAAGATCTTTCTGAAAAAGTAGTAACATATATATGGTGTCCCATTTAAAAGATTTTTAAATTGAATATAATCCAAATACTTTCCTTTATATTAAACATTCATGTTTTTAACTTTTTTCATGTGTGAAAACAAGTATTGATTAGAAAAATTTAGATATTAGTAAACCGACCAGGTGTAGGTATGTTTTATTATTAATTAAGAAAGTCGAAGAGTTTGAAAAATAATTCAAAACAAAATTTTCGTCACGCTTTATTGAGCCATCCTGTATACTTTCCGGTAATTTTAAATCTTGCATCCTAATAATCTTTACAGCGTTTGTATTTGCCATTTTCCATAACTTTTAAAGGCGAATGGGACAACGAACTTTGTTGTATTGTTGACTCACCCTATATACCGAGTGACACAAGAAAGTGGGAACACTCTATAACTTTTAAACTGCTTGAGATAGCGATCTCAAATTTGGATGAGTTAATGTAGGCTGAATGTCCAATTTTTGACAATATGTAGTCATATTGTTGCACTTCCGGTTTGAGCGGAAACGACAGTAACTTCCGAATTTTTAGTAACACGATCTATTTTCTTTTGCATTTTTAGATTCAGGGTAGGACGCTTTTTCTCTTTTGTCTTTTGGTTTTTTAAATTTGTATTTAATTTACGTAAATACTATTTACGGGGTCACGTGATCACGGGAAACATTGTAAATGAAAGTTTCCTTTACTAAGCCTAGTTTTTTCAAATAGCACCCTAGTGGGAATAAAAACTTTTTAAAAACTGTACTTTTCTTGCACTTTGACACCAAAATTTTCAAAATCCGGTAAAAAATAAGCTCACAGGAAGGAAAAAACCAGATAAGTAAATACAGTTTAAAAATAAGTTTCTTGAATTTTATTTCTTTTTAAATACTAATCTGTTTTTTCTTCCCCTTGCATGAGTTTGTCGAGAGTTTTTTTTACATTTTTAATCCATACCGACTTGTCAATTAATGATGAATAGAAGCAAAGCCACATAAGTAATATTTTGTTTTTATAAGAATGTATTTTCCTTCTTGTGAGCTTATTTTTTAACACATTTTGAAAATTTTTGGTGTCAAAACGTTGCAAAAAAAGGTACCTGTTTTAAAAAGTTTTTATTCCCGCTAGGGTGCTATTTTGAAAAATCTAGATTAATTAATATAGTATAGCAGTAATATAATAATTAATAAAGATTAATTTACAATTTTTCCATGTAAATAGTACTTATGACGGTCACAGCCTCCTAGACACACAATAAATATTTAAAAAAACAAAAAAAAATGAGAATAACCGTTCTATCCTACATAGAATGATCTCCTGAATCCAAAAATGCAAAAGACGTAGGTTGTGCCATGGACTACATATTGTTAAAAAAATTGGACATTCAGCCTATGTCAGCCATTCCAAATTTCAAATCGTTATCTCAAGTTGTTTAAAAGTTATGGTGTTACCACTTTCTTGTGTCACCCGGTATACAAAATTTTTACAGTAACCCTAGGTTAGAAGGTTTCTTCTCTATTTTTTTCCTTTTTCCAAAGGCATCAAATCGGATGATTTAGGTGGTCAGTTCCGGCCTCCCTTGACTCAACCCTAATAAACGACTATAATTTTCGCTAATTCCGATTTACTAATGAAGTTGTACTGTAAATAGTAGATATTTTTTTTATTTGACTAATACATCAAAAATTAATTTGACACGCACAAGAATACCAATCCCATGTGTTGCAATATATGCGTAAAATTAAAAAACTTGCGAAAATGGTTTCCGCTGGTCTGCACACAAAGATAAATTTCCCGCCTGGATACGCGGAAATACCAACAAATAATATTTCCCTGTTGTTAAAATAATGTTTATCGCGCAAGAAAAACCCATTCGCAATTACAATCTTATTTAAATCGGTCCGTCATTGGGCGAGTCGACACTCGACAAAATGGCAAAAGCCCTAGTGTTATGCGCAGCAGTTTTTTTTGTATTTTGGTGTCATTTTGCTTGCGCGGCCCAACGCACCTACCAATTAAATGGCCGCAATCGTGCGACCGTTAACACCGGCTTCCGTCGATGTTGCAACGGGCGCGTCACTGAAGTTACGGAGTCTGTAGCGGCAACGCTGTACGACAAGAATCGCAGGAGGACCAATTTCGGATCCAGGTTCGTTAATATCCCGAACGGGCTGGAATTTTATTTTTTATCTATTTGAGAGAGTCGTTTGGGATCATAAATAGACCCCTTATTAGAACTATCGAGATCAGTGGCGTGCAAGTTTCATAAGCAATATTTTTTTCAATAAAACTTCCGTCTCCTGATTTTTCTTTATACTTCTTCTTTTTCTTCTTCTTTGTCGACTAATTAGTTCCAATAACTTTTCTACGCGCAAAGTAGATTGAACGTCAATATTTTAATGACTTATTAATCACATTTTTTTGAAAATATTTTCCCAAGTATATTTAAATAAGATTTGGCTGCATTATCTTCAGGGATTGGTAATACAGCAGAGTGTCCTTTAATTTTCTAGTTGTTGATTTTTAGTGACTTTGCCTGTAAAATACAAAAGTGGTTCAAAAAAAACAGCAAGCTGTTATATACAGGGTGTTGCAGAAAACACCCACAGATGAAAGTTATATATTTTTCATGAAACAACAAGGAGTAAAAGCAACATTCAAAAATAAAATAATATTCCAGAATTTATAATTTATATCTTAGCAGGCTGTGAAGTAGGTCGTCAACAAAAAAACAAAATGTTTGTTTATAATTGACGCTGACGGTTACAGGTTTGGCAAAACTATGCTTTTTTCGTCACATACAAAATGCCCGTTCTCAAATTCTAAATTTTGAACTCAAACGGATCTACGTGCGATTGCAGGTTTCAGACAAAAAAAACTGTCATCAAATCTATAAGAATTTTTGCTTTTTTGAGAGTGGCTTAAATCTTCCGCTACGACGTATTTTTTTGATCAATAAACTCTTCTTTCAAGCTTTCCGATATTTTTCTTATAGAAAATTGCAATTTTCTTCGATAGTCTTAAGATCACTATCTTCATCTCTTTCCAATGTTCCCTTCCTTCTGGATAGGCTGAAGTTTTTCATAGATTTAATAGATTTTGCTCTCTTATTTGCTTTAAGAAACGTTTTATAATAAGAACGCAAATTTCGCTAAATCTCGTAACTGGTAACTGTCGCTGTCAGTTACAAACAAACACAGCTACCTAAGATATAAATTATAAATTCTAGATTATCATTAATTTTTTTTATATTTTTGCAACCAGCAGTTGTAGAAACCACTTTATAGAATCTCTTCCATTCCTGAACATTCTAAATATCTTTAGGTTTTCGTCTTTCCTGGTTCGTCAAAAATGTCGTAAACCCTTTTCATTCGAATGGCGCATATAAACTTGCGTGCATAGAAAATCGACCCGTTGTGAACTTTTCACTTCAAGTGCATCACTTGAATTTCATTTTTGTTTTAGAAACTACTGATCAGATTTAAAGAAATGCTGTTTGAAATAACAAAAAAATGACCGTTCACTGTTTGGAGCAGTTCACTATACAAATGTTCAAAAAATTGATCGCTCGTATTTAATTTTTGATTTTTTCTGCTCATTCGAGTAGAAAAGGGATCGCGTAACTAAAAAATCAACAACATAGAAAAGTGGTCCAAATTTTTCCGTTCTTGTCTAAAACCTCACGAATATCTACAGTCCAAAAACCATGACGATAATATCGAAAATCTTCTACCGGCGATAACGAATATCAAAATAGAACAATTAATGCGAACTTTAACAATAATTGCCATTGAATTGTTTTTTCGATACAAACACTTCAACCGACGGAAAATAAACGTGTCTATTTTCGTTTTTCAGTTTTGCCCTACCTCTTTAGGGAAAGTTGTTGGGGGTTACTGAACATTTTCAGAAATGAACGTCAGTAACTTGCGATATCACTATAAATACATATAGATTAATAATTTACAGTTAAAAATGTCAATTTTTGAAATCTATGTGTGCTTTGGAAAACAAAATAGAAAAAATTATGATTATGATTGTCTTTTTTTGTTCATTGGTTATGTAGGCTATGAACAAATGAAATGGCTATTATTCAACCTTTACTCAGATGTGATTTTCAAAGAGGCTCTACAAGATAAAGACCATTGGGTGAAGATCAACGGCGAACTGATTAATACTATCGGGTATCCCGACGACACGGTCATCTTATGTGATACTATCCAAGGCCTTCATGAGCTGTTGGATTGTGTAAACACGACAGGATGGAACAAAGGTCTAAAAATGAATGTCGCTAAAACAAAATTTATGGTATTCAGTCGCCAGCCACATGCCGATGCATCCCTAAATATAGACCAGCAAAACATTGATAGAGTTACCTATTACAGATATTTTGGATGCTATATCACAGAGCAACTAGATCCAGATAAAGAAATCAAATGCAGAATAGAAACAACTCGCATAACTTTTATGAAAATGAAACCATTTGAACTTTTTGCTTCGTATTTTCACCTAATTCACAGGTACACTTCTATCTCTTCGCTTCACGTAAGCTTTTCCGGAATGCCTCTTTTTCTGCGTTTTCTTCTTTTAGTCTCGGTCTCCATATTCGTCATTATTCTCTATCTCTCTATTTCATTGTCGCCAAGAATCTCGGAAGCATCTGAAACAAAATTTCACAGGAGTTTATTCTCGTAATTTTACCACTTCAAATAAACATAAATAAGAAAAAAGGGTTTTATGTATTGCCACGAGCTCGCCGCCCTTGTCGGAATCAGTTGAATTGTCCTCATGTATATTTTGATCCACTAGCGTTTTAATCATATACTATATTATACTCACTAAATAGTTATATTTTTAGCATCGATATAACGCAAACAAACACAAAATGACTTTCACCGATTGACATCTGACATCTTTTGTTTCAATAAGTGTCGCCGTCTATTGCAGATAAGGTCAAGCAGGGACTTTGTCCAATAAAAATATGAATTATAAGGTATTATTTACCGGACTTTATTCTGCTCCCTTCTGTGAAATATTCCGTGCGGTAACGGTTTGGGAGCAATCGGATGTTTTCCGTGTTAACAGTTGAATGAATGAAAATGCAAATGAAAAACAGAAAAAGCCTTGTTTCTCGGTAAAACTTTGCGTCGTAAATTTTATGATAAATGCCCCCAAGTATTATCGCATTGCATTATTGTAAACACAGTATCTAAAAAAATGTTCAACACCAGATAAGCAAAGTCGTAGGCCATTAGTTTTCAACGCTACCAACAGAGGTGCATAAAAATCCAACAAAAAAAAAATTGACTGGAGCAAAATGTTTTTTAGAAGACCTTCTTTTTCAATTTACTTTCGAAAATTGAACATCAGTAGTAAACATCAGTAGTAATTTACATATTTCTTTTACGACATTAGTAGATTCACGAGGCGCATGTCAGAACTGGACAAACAGCCTGGAGATCAAAAGGGTCATATCTTAGCGTCCTTTGCCGGTGGACCTGCGGAAATTTGGAATCTGGCCCCTCAAGCCGATAACGTCAACAAAAGACTGCTCAACAGAAATAGTATCCTTGCTGGATGGTAAACAAAGTCCTACGTAAACCTCAACTCGGTACTATTTTCATGACTTTAGGTATGAATGCGAGAACTGGATCAAAAGGGAACTAGAGAGAGGAAGAAATCTGCCGGTGCGAGCTACCATGAGGCTGAGCTATGGCGCCAATTGCAGACCCACCCATTGGTCGATAGAAGCGAGGAATTCCAATCCGAATGATCCAGGATGCAGGGCCGTGAATATTAGAAACGGCTTCGGCGGCTCGTTTACCTGCAGGAAGCATTAAAATTATTCTACGAACTTTATTGCTAGTCACAATAAAACTATTTATTTCCTGGTATCGTTTTGGTTATTTCCTCAGTGCCCCACATCTGGAATGACAATCCCTTTAGTTCTTCCAATTGGGTTTTTAAAATTTTTATCATGTTACGGCCCAGTTATTTAAAAATGAATCATAATAATTGCTCCAAAATTGTCCGAGCTTTAATTTCTTTGCGAATGGCCAGAGGTAGATTGTGACAAATAAAGATGGTGTTCCTTCATTATACTTCCGAAAGAGTTGCTTGATTTTGCAAAAAAAAACAATAACCGAATAGAAAATATTGAAAATTGTTCTAGAAATTTGGACAAATATTTATTTCAAAAAAATATCTTAAAATTAATTATTTACGAATTGTATAAATGACAATTTTCAAACCTTTTTATCGATTTTTTTTTTCGAAAACGACTAATTCAAAAAATTTGATTTCATTTTAATTACTTCACAAAAATGGATAATTTTAGAAATCACTATTATGAAACTACCAACTCAGCAAAAAAAAAAACAAGATTGATTTTGTGTGGTAGATGAAAGAATTGCTTTTCTATCGTGTTCTTGCGGACCACTATGGAACTTTCGGAAAATGGATGTAATTTAATTGTGCATGCACCCTGTATAAAATGTCCTTCACATCTCGTCGAACTTCGACTGGTTTTAAGCAAATAGTAACAAAGGAAACACGAGTTACCGTAAGTTCAGCTACACTAATCGATCAGAAATAATAAATGACTTCAACGTAGAGGAAGTCCCGAGAAACTTTCCTGTCATCAGTGACCACGAAACTATTGGAGTTCAAGTGGAAGTTCGAAGCCAGACACTAGTAAGTGAGGATGTTTATGTCAGAAATCTGAGTTCTCAGAATATTAATCAAATACGGGAAGCACTTATTGGTCAAAATTGGAATTACACATCCACGGATGTTAACAAAATATATGTGGAGTTTATAGGAATTGTACAAGGAGCGCTTGATAGGTTATCTCCGCTCCGCAAGGCCCAATCAAGAAAATATCCATGGTTTTCATGTGCGGCAGGACAGGCGCAACAAGTTTACAAAAAGTTTAAATACGCCAAAAGTGAAGAAGACTGGGAAAAATATAAAAGAAAAAGAAATAACGTTATTTCAGTTATCAGAAAGGAAAAACAAAGATACTATAACCAAAAAATTGATGATTGCAAGGGAAATGAAAAGAAAATGTGGCAGACATTAAAAGGACTTGTTGGAAATAAAAATAAAAAAGCAGATTTTACCAATATTGATTTTGGACATTACAGTGACAAAGAAGAAGAAAACATGAATAACTTTTATGCCGATAGCTTAAATGAAATAGCAGAGAGTATAGAAAAGAAGCAAGGGCACTCTGTGTGTGACATGGTCAGCTGCAGCTTGTCTTGCTTTAAAAAAATAACGATATCGTAGCTTGAAAAAACTGTAAATAACCTAAAAAATAGAAGTACAAGTGACTGTTCTAGATATTAAGCTCGTCAAGGATTTATTTTGTGTAATAGGGTTATCCGTTGTTATATTTGGTGAATGCGTCTTTAAGTGTTAAAACCAAAAACACCTGGTGATTTTCGACCAATTAACTTGCTGCCAGTAGTGGATAAAATCCTGGAAACGATAGTGGGCAGTCGAAAGACTACCTGGAGCGGAACTGCCTACTTTACAGTGGACAGTCTGGTTTAAGGAGCAAACACTCGTGCGAATCTGCCTTGCAATATATGTGTGCAGTGTGGCGGAAAGACATGAATGAATCAAAACTAATTCTGAGTGTTTTCGTAGATTTTAAACGTGCATTTGAGACTATTGACAGGGACATTCTAATTACAAAATTAGGGTTATATGGTATTAAAGACTCTGCACTAGAAAGGATAAAGAACTTTTTATCTGATAGATCTCACCAGACTAATATAAAATAAATAAATAAAAGCGTGTTGGGCCCGCTTTTATTTATTGTTTATACAAATGATATGTATCAGCTTTTAAAAAAACTCCTTTGTTAACTTATTTGCTGATGACACGCTTATTTCGGTCTCAGGAAACGCTTGCAAAGAAATAGCTACCAAACTGAACACCGAAATGCAGTATTTCTACGAATGGCTGTGTCAAAATAAACTGAAATTAAATAGCTCCAAAACCAAGTGCTTGGTTATCGGTTCTAAGGTTAACTGTCAAAAATTTTATAAGTCGGGGTATTCTGTGGATATACAGGGTAATAAAATTGAGTTTGTTTCGGAAATTAAATATTTAGGGGTGATTTGGATCCACAATTATGCTTTAGTAATCATGTTGAATATCTGCAAAAAAAATGGTAAGAAAATAGGGTTTTTTAACCGTGTATCGCGCTTTTTATCGCAGTGGACTAGGATGTTAGTGTATAATAGTATAATTTTGCCTCATTTTTCATATGTTTGTTCAGTGCTTATATCTTGTACAAAAGAAGATTTAAATAAGTTACAGTTACAACAATATAGGGTTATGAGAATCATCCTGGACTGCGATTGATATACTCCTATAAAGAGTATGTTAGACCAGCTAAATTGGCTAAATGTCGGGCAGTTCATTAGAAGAGCAAGTTTAATGTTGGTTTATGGAATTGCGCACGATCACCAACCAGGCTATCTTAAATTATGGTTGGAAAAAAGGTCAAACTTTTATCAATATACTATACGTTCCAATCAGCACTTCAATATTTCTATAGTAAAAACAACAAATTTACAGAAAACTCTATTCTACGATGGTGTTTGTAATTTTAATGAACTGCCGGATAATATTAAGGGCGCGCGTTGCCCAAGAGTGTTCAAGAAGAGACTTACGGGGTATATGCGAAGTTTATAGTTTTGTTTATGCAAATTTTACTTATGTAAATAGCCAAGTGCTAAATAAATAAATAAATAAATGAAAACTTCAAAATTACAGCAAACATCGGTAAATATCAAAATTTGCACAAATAAGAGGTTTGCGATACCGTTCAAATAAAATTATACCATCTTTAACGGTTTTTCATTTATCGCCAATAATTTAGCCACAAAAACGGAAATTTTTAGGATGTTTTTGATTTTTTGCGCATAAACGACACACCCTGTATATGATACAAGATAAAGCAACCCTGAAGCGCACTAATGAAGTTTTGCGCCTATTATATTCAATATTTAGACCAAAGGCGGTTTTACCGGCAATTACGATAAATATTCCCCGTCCTATCTAAAGAAAAATAAATACGTATAAATGATAGCATTAGTATATAAGCGTAGGTCGCCGCTGGTAAGCGATAAAACTATATCTTACGTTGCGTACAGAAATACCCAAAGCAATGACGAAAGCAGAGGTCTTGGTCGCGATTTTCCTTGTCTATTGGAGGAATGCCGATGGGGCCGTGACGACTTATCAATTGAACGGTCGGAATACGGCTACAGTGACAACTGGAAGTCACACTTGCTGCAATCGTCAGTCCACGGATGTCACCCTTTCCGTACAAGCGACGTTGTTCGACAAGAGCAACACCAGAACCGACTTTAAGTCCAGGTAAGAAAAACCAGGGTTTGCGGAAAACAAGTTTTACTGTTAGCAAAACAATTGAAAAGTGTATAAACATAAGCTCTCAATATATCTTAAGAAAATTAATTATTGTAGATTTACAGATTATAATTTTGGGAAATTTGATAACGGTCAGAGAATGATGGGCGTGATATTGGTGTAAGGGGGGTAGCAAATAACCTATTTAGATCTTACTTGAGTCAGAGAACACAGAGTGTGAAAATAGCTGACACGTTGAGTGATAGGTTACGGGTGGGATTTGGTGTGCCGCAGGGCACGGTGTTTGGCCCGCCAATAATGAGAAAAATGTGTTTTGTTTTGCTGACGATGCAGCAGTGATTGTTTATTATTTATTTATTTATTTAGCACTTCGCTATTTACATAAGCAAGTAAAATTTGCATAAACAAAACTATAAACTTCGCAAATACCCGTAAGTCTCTTCTTGAACGCTCTTGGGCAAAGCGCGCCCTTAATATTATCCGGCAGTTCATTAAAATTACAAACACTATCGTAGAATAGAGGTTTCTGTAAATTTGTTGTTTTTACCATAGAAACATTGAAGTGCTGATTGGAACGTATATTATATTGATAAAAGTTTGACCTTTTTTCCAACCATAATTTAAGATAGCCTTGTTGGTGATCGTGCGCAATTCCATAAACCAACATTAAACTTGCTCTTCTAATGAACTGCCCGACATTTAGCCAATTTAGCTGCTCTAACATACTCTTTATAGGAGTATATCTATCACAGTTCAGGATGGTTCTCCTAACCCTATTTTGTTGTAACTGTAACTTATTTAAATCTTCTTTTGTACAAGATATAAGCAATGAACAAATATACGAAAAATGAGGCTATTATACACTAATATCCTAGTCCACTGCGATAAAAACCGCGATACACGGTTAAAAAACCCTATTTTCTTACCAATTTTTTTGCATAGATATTCAACATGATTACTAAAGCATAATTGTGGATCCAAGATGACCCCTAAATATTTAATTTCGGAAAAAAATTCAATTTTATTACCCTGTATATCCACAGAATACCCCGACTTATAAAATTTTTGACAGTTAACCTTAGAACCGATAACCATGCACTTGGTTTTGGAGCCATTTAATTTCAGGTTATTTTCACACAGCCATTCGTAGAAATACTGCATTTCCATGTTCAGTTTGGTAGCTATTTCTTTGCAATCGTTTCCAGAGACTGAAATAAGCGTGTCATCAGCAAATAAGTTAACAAAGGAGTTTTTTAAAACCTGATGCATATCATTTATATAAATAATAAATAAAAGCGGGGCCAACACGCTTCCCTGCGGCACCCCCCATCTGCTATCCCTATGACTACAAACATTATTATTAATTTTAGTCGGGTGAGATCTATCAGATAAAAAGTTCTTTATCCATTTTAGTCTTTAATGCCTTTAAAACCTAAATTTGTAATAAGAATGTCCCTGTCAATAGTCTAAAATGCACGTTTGAAATCTACAAAAACACTCAGAATTAGTTTAGATTCATTCATGTCTTTCCGCCACACTGCACACATATATTGCAACGCAGATTCGCACGAGTGTTTGCTCCGGAAACCAGGTGTTTTCGGTTTTGACACTTCAGCTATGGGCACTATGATGCTTGTTTTTAGTTTATCAGGGATTTTTCCGGCACTTAAAGACGCATTCATCAAATATAACAACGGATAACCTATTACACAAAATAAATTCTTGACCACTTGTACTTCTATTTTTTAGGTTATTTACAGTTTTTTCAAGCTACGATATCGTTATTTTTTTAAAGCAAGACAAGCTACAGCTGACCATGTCACACACAGAGTGCCATTGCTTTTTTTTTTCTATACTCTCTGCTATTTCATTTGCGTCATTGTGTCGGGTAAATCTCGAGAGGATACCGTTAGAATGGCGGAACTAGCCTTGTATTACATATTTTATTGTCCTTAAATAAAAAAAACACATATTTTCTTCGTTGAATCGAGAAAATCTCTAACTACCAATTTTCAGAAACTAAGGCTTTATGAATCCTATTGTGAGAAGGACGTAAACTGTACGTTCTTGAAAGAACAACTTTTACAAAATATCTGGGCATATTAATTATGTAACTAACAAAATCAGAAAACTAAATTATATATTTTTCACTAATAGAGTCTATAATGAACTATGGATTAGTGGTGGGTTAATGCCTATGGAACGCAGGTGCTGGGGTTGCAAGTCGCTTAAACATGGGTTACAAATCTGCTTACTTTTAAACAACAAGTCTTTATCAAATCAGTGGTAAGACTTATGTTAAAAACCAACTAATATAAAATTAAAATAAATAATAGTATTAACAGAAGGTGTCCGTACCCGAAACGTATATGGAGGGGTGTTCAAAAAGAAAGGTGAGTTTTAAGTTTTATCAAAACGCATTTATTTATTCATCAAAATTAATGTTGTCCCCTGAGATGTAATGCCTCAGATATAAGCACTTATGGTAAGCACTTTCTGGTATAGCCTTGAGTTCTTCCAGGGATTTGTCTTTATCTCCTCAATCGTTCCAAATCTCTTTCCTTTCATGGGTTTCTGGAGTTTTGGGAGAAGGAAAAAGTCACAGGGGACTATATACGATGAATATGGTGGCTGAGGCATGATTGTGCTTTTGTTTTTGACCAAAAAGTTGTTGTTGCTTCTTGCAAACGGCGCTTCCAAGGTAATACTCTTTGTTGACCGTACGACCTTGTGGTAAGAACTCTTGATGTACTACGTCACGATAATCAAAGAAAACGGTAAGCGTTTGACCGAACTGGGTTCTTCCATTGGGACAACTGGGCTTTGGTTTCGACGTCATAACCATATACCCATGATTCGTTACCATTATGACCTTTTTGAGCACATAGTTTAACAATTCTTGTACGATACTCCTTCTATGATCCTTTTGCTTAAAATTAAGCAGTTTCTATTAGTGATTCGACGATTTTTCGACACAATTTGTTTCACTTCTTCGAGTGGTTGGTTGAGGTGCTGGGGTGCTATAGGTGTCGTCTCGCCCATAGTGGATCAGCTAGCACCACTGATGAACATTTTCTTTGCTCAAAGTAGATTCACCAAATGCCGTTATCAAAATGTCAAGTGTTTTGCATAACTGTATTCTATTTTTTACACAAAATTTTGTGCAAAATTTTGTTGCGAAATCTGCGTTTATATAATAACAGAAATAATTACATTATGCAGTTTATTTACATAATCTTATTTAAAAAAACTAGGAATACACAAATGTTTTGCAGTGGATACTGCTATTTGAATAAGTAGTTACTAGGAGTGGTTGGTTTGAACCCAAGTTTGTCGTGACATGTACTTAAATGACATCTTGATGGCAGGTGATCCATCTGTCTTATTTATTTATTATTGCGTTTATATTTTGAGAAGATTGAGGTGTTTTTTTCATATTACACAAAGCGTCCAATCCTTATTGTTTCAAGTTTAAAATGAGCCAATATTGTTCCAAGCATCTTAATATAAGGTTGTTCGGAAAGTCATTTCGTTTTTTCCCGTCAGAGGACTTAATTACGTTTTTTCGAAACCAACTTCACACTTAAGCCGCATAACCATTATATGTCTTGAGAGCTGATATTGCAAGGCTTGTGTGTGAAAAAGTTCTATTAATTCTACGCAGTAGTTTTTGGTTGGTGCCCTTTTAAATATGGAGAGCAATAAGCAGCATTTTCGTCATATTTTACTTTTTTACTTCAGAAAAGGTAAAAATGCTGTCCAAGCGAGAAAAAAATTGACGGATGTGTATGGAGAAGGCGTGTTAACAGTACGCCAGTGCCAGAACTGGTTTGCAAAATTTCGATCCGGCAATTTTGATGTCGAAGATGCACCACGGTCTGGAAGGCCGGTCGAAGCTGACAAAGATGCGATAAAGGCATTAGTTGATGCAAATCGGCGAATAACCACACGAGAGATCGGTGAGAGATTAAGTTTGTCGAATTCGACTGTTCATGGCCATTTGAAAGGCATGGGCTTAACCTCGAAGCTCGATGTGTGGGTGCCCCATGTCTTTACGGAGCGAAATTTGTGTCGTCGCGTTGACGTGTGTGATTCGCTCCTCAAACGTCAAGAAAATGATCCATTTTTGAAGCGGATTATTACTGGGGACGAAAAATGGGTTGTATACAACAATGTTAAACGCAAGAGGTCATGGAGCCGAAAAGATGAACCGGCTCAAAGCGTGTCAAAAGCCAACATTCACCAAAAAAAGGTGATGCTCTCCGTTTGGTGGGATGTCAAAAGAATCGTTTTTTTTGAGCTTTAGCCGGACAATACAACGATTAATTCAGAAGTTTATTGTCATCAACTGGACAAATTGAATGATTCACTTAAAGAGAAGAGGCCCGAATTAATCAACAGGAAGGGTGTAGTGTTCCACCAGGATAATGCGAGACCTCACACAAGTTTGGTCACTCGCCAAAAACTTTTACAGCTTGAATGGGACGTACTGCAACATCCACCATATTCTCCAGATCTGGCGGCTTCCGACTACTATTTGTTCCGGTCCCTGCAAAATTTTTTGAATGGCAAAACCTTTACCTCAAATGAAGATGTCAAAAACCACCTGAACCAGTTTTTTGCCAGCAAGGACCAAAACTTTTATGAGAGGGGAATTATGTTACTGCCAGAAAGATGGCAAAAGGTGTTGGACCAGAATGGCCAATATATAATTTAATAAAATATTTATTCATTATACGAAAACTGTCTTTCATGTTCCCCAAAAAAAGCGAAATGACTTTCCGAACAACCCAATACATTCTCAACATATATTGGGATAAATTTAGAATCCGATTGAATGTAAGCCTCCCTTAGAGACTAATCGCAATTTAGAAAATTAAAGCTTAGTATACTTAAATCTATATAAACATGAATATCAAATTAAAACCTCCAAGATTCTAGGAATTTGTATGTGCAATTAAAAATTGTTAATAATGTAATGTAATTTCTGATTGATAATATTTATAATCAAATAAACAACAATAAAAATATTATTATTATTGTTATTAATTTTTTGAAAGGCGGAAGAAAAAATTTTTGCTTTGGTGATTTGAAAAATTATTTAACATTACAACTCACAGAGTACACAATAACTATTCGGATACTATTCTTATATAACCATTATTATTATATTTATTAATTAATGTTACAATTTTAATTACAAATTTAAATTTAAAACAGCCGATTCGACACCCGAATGACACAGCTGGACAAACGACCTGGTGATGAGAAGGGGCATATTCTAGCGTCCGTTTTTGGTGGACCGGCGGAAATTTGGAATCTGGCGCCTCAAGCCGACAACGTCAACAAGAGGTTACTAAAGAAAAACAGTATTTTGGTTGGCTGGTAAGTTCGTCCCCGTCCGTTTCGGCCACGAGGGTTTTCTATGTGCACCCATAATATATTCCGTTTTCCCTGTATTTTACTCAGCCAAACTCTTTTAACCGGTACAGTGTTGCCCAATCTCTGTAAATGGCCCCACCAGCAAAGTTGTTTCTCTTCTATGAATTCTCCTATAGATTCCACCTTTAACTCTTCTCTTATATGTGCATTTCTAATTTTGTCCCTTCTACTTATTCCTTTCACTCTCCTCGAGTATTTCATCTCTGCTCCTCCAATTTTGCTCTTGTCCCTATCCGAGATTCGGAGCCAAATGGAGGGATTATTCTGTAAATTGTTTTGTATACTTTCATTTTCATTTTCATTTTAGTTTCTTTTTATTTATGAGCCCCTTATTTGCCTATTCTATTCTATTATTTAATTCTGTATCATGTCCTCCTGTTTCTTCGAATTCCCAAGTACTGCAAGCCACTAACTTGTTCTATTAGTGTCCCATGTATTCTCACCTTTAATTTGTCTATTAGCCCCCTGTCTCCTTCTTGTGTTATAACTGCCTTTGATTTCGTGTTCTTGCTTATTATGCAATTTTTTGTTTCGTTGTATAAACATTTCATAATTCTTATTTGCCGTCAACGTTTCTGACTTGTAGGCTTTTCCACATTTTTATTCGCGGTACTTTATCAATATCTTGCGGATTTTCTCGAATTTACTTGTTTCATTCAGGTACGAATGCGAAAAATGGATCCAAGGTAACCTAGAAAATGGAGCGCATTTACCTGTCCGGGCGATCATGAGGCTCACCTACGAGAATAACAACTGCAGGCCCACTTACTGGTCCATCGAGGCGAGAAACTCCGATCCTCGCGATCCCGGCTGCAAAGCGGACAACATCATCAACGGTTACGGCGGACCTTTCGCCTGCAGGAAGGCTTAGTTGTTTAACAAGCACTAAGTTTAAATAAAGTTTTTATTACGTAATTAAGAACTGCCGTTTCAATTTAAATCCCAGATATCATAGGAACGGAAAAGGTGCAGATAGCAGGAACCAACATTTATGAAATGTTCAGGTTCTAACCAAACCAAAGGTCCAGCAGCAATCGCAACAGTATGCTTTTAGAAAGAGGAAGTCATCGAAAGTGTGGAATATATTGATCATGCACGAATTCTTTTGGTCGGCGATATTAATATTACACAAATTAAATTAGAACAAAAAAAAAAACAAATAACTACGTTCTAGTTTCGCTTGATGTCGTATCATTATATACCAACATACCTTTCGAGCTTATCACACAAGTAATTAAAACAAAATGGGATAATATTAAATTACACACAGATATTCCTCTCAATGAATTTTCAATGGATTTAGATTTTACACTAAAATCCACATTTTTTCAATACAAAAAATATGTTCTATAAACAAGTCGAAGGTTGTGCGATGGGTATGTCAATTTCAAGCATAGTAGCACAACTTGTTATGGAGTATCTAGAAGAAAATGTTATTAAAAACATTCAATTCAATTTACCTTTTTTTTATCGATATGTTGACGACATCATAACTGCAGTTCCAAAAAGAAAAACAGACTTATTGCTAAACTCCTTCAATAATTTCGACAAAAAATTGCAATTCACAATTGAAATTGAAAACAAAAATACTATTAACTTTATAGACTTATCCCTACATCATATACAAAATGAAATAAGAACAAGTCATTCCCTAGCCCAAAAAAAATCCGTCATAATAGGTCTCGCAGACAGAGCAATAATGTTATCCGATCCAGACTATAGACCAGACGCAATTGAAAAAGCAAAACACACACTTGTAGAAAATAATTATCCCATAAACTTACTTAATAATGTGTTTAATAAACGTACCAACAAATTTTATAATAACGTAAACAAAAATCAACATCAAAGTCCTCAAAGAAAATATATATCGCTGCCATATATACCTGGATTATCAGAAAAACTCCAAACCATTTTCAAGGAACATAAAATTCAAATAGGACACAAAAGTTATAATTTACAAAAAACATATCTCTTCACTAAACTCAAAGCAAAAATTCCAGTTGAAAAAAGAAGCAATATAGTATATGAAATTCCATGCTCTAATTGCGACAGTGTATATATAGGATAAACAAGCCAATATTTAAAAAATAGAATCAACGGACATAAGTATGACAAAAAAAACAGCTCTTCATACCCATTGCGAAAACGCCAAACACACATTTAATTTTCAAAAAGTTAAAGTCCTACTAACAGAACCTAACACCAAAAAAAAAAAACTTTATGAAAGTATAGAAATCCAAAAAAACAAAAATTCAATTAATTACAAAACCGATTCTAAAAACCTTAACAAAATATATCATTCAATTTTAAACTAACAAAATTAAATTATCCAATATAATAAAAAACATCCGTACCTGTTTTGCATGCCATTCCAATCCGTATATAATATGCGCTGACAAATTTTTTATATTTTTAATATATTAACACAACGTCAAATGTCATTAATTGTTATATATGTCACCTATACAAAATAAGAATGTTTTGAAAAAGATCGAAATTACGATCGAAACGTTAATAAATATTTAGAAGAATCCCATTAATTGTTTTAGAGAGACCCAATACCCAAGAGAAATTGAAGAAAAAATAAATAAATAAATAAATAAATATATATATATATATATATATTTACAGTAGCATCAAGATCTACCACTGACTTGGCTATTGTCAGTTTTATGATATTAGTAATCAAACTCCAACCACCACCGGATATATAAAAGCACTTTAATATTGATAGGATACAGTTAAAACAGTTTAACAATATGCTATAAATGCAGCCAGTAAATCCACACTTATTTTTGGTAGATACAACTCGTCTCCAAGTCTAACTGACGGATGTATTCGAATACTCCATCGGTGATCTGTTGAGCTTCCTGGATATTCGATATCAGCGCCTTGTCCGCCATTAGACCAACAGAAATCTTATCATCGAACGTCGTAATACCGACCGAAACTCCTGAAATTTTATTTAAAATAACTACCACTACCACTGGACTACCTTTTTCTTTTAACACCAAAGACCTTTCAACAAAATTTTCATATTAGTTTTGTCACGGTAAGTTTAGTTAAGTTTCCACCATAACATCATCTTAATACTTACAAAGGAATTGGATAGGAGTGGTTCATCAAAACTGAAAATCGGCATGAGTTATCAGAAAGTTTTCCAGTTACGAAGAGAATTAGAGCTGGTTGTTGTCTCCGACCTTGTTCGAAATATATCTTAACAAGACATTGGAGCATGGGAATAGTTGTAAATAATCTGACTACACTACATCGGTGGATAACAACAAATATAAAGACCGAAAACACAGTAGCATAAGACCATTTTTAAGTGTCCTTCTGTACGGATGTGAAACCTGGCAACTCGATGGAAAACATAAAGAAAACTACTTCGACATATTCCATTGAAACGGACTTTTGGAGTCGACTTTCATCAAAAATATGCAAGAAAATGGTATGGCCACGTACAAAGAATGGATGACCAAAAACCTGGGGTAAACAAAAATTGATTTTGATTTATTATAAAACTCAATTATTTTTGGCCTTTTTTGCACAGTTTTTCGGAACATCAGTGATTATTGGTTTGTATATCCAAGACACTATCGCACTGATTGCGAGATCTTGCCGAAACAAAAGCTAACGCTATTTCTGGTCTATTTTTTCGGTTCCAACAGACGATATCTTTTACTTTTCACGGCGAAGATGAAACTTGTAAAACAGTTGGTAACAGTGATCTGTGCTTACAGTATTTCGACAATACAGATAAATTCAACAGACCTTACTATCTCTTGTTCCCTAAAACTTCTCTTTGACGCTAGATTTTTTCACTTTTCATATTTAAAATCACATCGTCAAAGAATACTCTAACATGTCTAACATATTTAGAGGAACCGCCTGGGGTTTTCCTCCATTTGGAACAAAACGTAATCTTTTAGTCCAACTTTAGTGATTACAACAGAGTTCATAGATTTTTCATGACAATAACAAAGTGGATGTATATTTTTATTTATTTTTTATTTATTTAGCACTTGGCTATTTACATAAGCAAGTAAAATTTGCATAAACAAAACTATAAACTTCGCAAATACCCCGTAAGTCTCTTCTTGAACGCTCTTGGGCAAGGCGCGCCCTTAATATTATCCGGCAGTTCATTAAAATTACAAACACCATCGTAGAATAGAGTTTTCTGTAAATTTGTTGTTTTTACCATAGAAACATTGAAGTGCTGATTGGAACGTATATTATATTGATAAAAGTTTGACCTTTTTTCCAATCATAATTTAAGATAGCCTGACTGGTGATCGTGCGCAATTCCATAAACCATCATTAAACTTACTCTTCTAATGAACTGCCCGACATTTAGCCAATTTACCTGGTCTAACATACTCTTCATAGGAGTATATCTATCGCAGTTCAGGATGATTCTCATAACCCTATTTTGTTGTAACTGTAACTTATTTAAATCTTCTTTTGTACAAGATATAAGCAATGAACAAATATATGAAAAATGCGGCTATTATACACTAATATCCTAGTCTACTGCGATAAAAACCGCGATACACGGTTAAAAAACCCTATTTTCTTACCGATTTTTTTGCATAGATATTATCTATATAAGATCACCCCTAAATATTTAATTTCGGAAACAAGCTCAATTTTATTACCCTGTATATCCATAGAATACCCCGACTTATAAAATTTTTGACAGTTAACCTTAGAACCGATAACCATGCACTTGGTTTTGGAGCTATTTAATTTCAGTTTATTTTCACACAGCCATTCGTAGAAATACTGCATTTCGGTGTTCAGTTTGGTAGCTATTTCTTTGCAATCGTTTCCAGAGACTGAAATAAGCGTGTCATCAGCAAATAAGTTAACAAAGGAGTTTTTTAAAACCTGATGCATATCATTTATATAAATAATAAATAATAGCGGGTCCAACACGCTTCCCTGCGGTACCCCCCATCTGCTATCCCTATGACTAGAAACATTATTATTAATTTTAGTCTGGTGAGATCTATCAGGTAAAAAGTTCTATATGCACTAATGCACACTGCTTCTGAAACATCATCATCAAAAAACTAATCAACTGAACTAATCAAACTACAACTTTTTACTTATTTAAAAATAGGCATCAAAAAGTCTTCACAGTTTGGACAAAAACTTAATCACTTAATCACTATAGTAACTAAAAGGAAACGATCGTACTTACAAATTTTGAACATTTGCAAAGCATGTTATCGATGTTTATATATATATTTATATTATATTAAGTTTATATTTGGAATTTTATTTACCACACTGGTTGAATAATATATTATTGTCATAGGTTAACCGGACCTAAGCGCCCCTAACGCAGAAATAATCACAGAGTACAGTCGAAATGTAACTAACACTGGTAAATTTAGTTAGGAAGTTTATTAAGACTTTCGGGGGACGCTTGAAAACTTACCGATTTTCTCCCTATGCTGGGGAAAGAAAATCACTTTGTGTAAGTTTTGCTGGCAGATTTTGAGTCCATTGTAGCTAGGGACGTTTGAAACAGACGCCGTGACCCCCGGTATGCTCCAAATCTTTTTCACAACAGGCGTGGGAAGTAGTCCACTTATGTATCGAGACATCAACAAATTTACCTGATAATGTACAATAATTTATTAAATTCTTCGTAACGTTCAGTATTAGTACCAAGAAATTTAAAATTACCAAACAAGTCCGCGAATTGATGGTTTGTTTTTAGATCTAAGTTGGCCATGACTTCCCACTTGACAGATAGAAATTGCCACCTTTTGATATAACAAAAAGTGTATTATTGTTTTTGGCACAACTGATATAGGTCAAAATACCATATCAAAGTCTACCCAAGAGACTCGAAAATATTCCAAGTTCAATAAAAGTAAAGATGAAACCTCGTAGTCATTTTCATAGCCTCTCTATTTCCTCAGCTGCATGGCGATATTGATTTCAGGTACCTATTGTATCTGATTTGTTTTACCTGTTTGACGAATTCTATAGGAACGTTGAATGGAGTGGTCAGAATCTTTAAAAAATATTGATTAGATCGTAACCTCGTAATATTTTTTAAGAAATTTAAAGCCTTCACAACCGCAACCGCAACCGCAAAGGTCCAATACGCTATTTAAAACAATGCTACTTTTATTTGAAGTCAGCGACTTCGTTTCTTATTTCGACAGAATAACACTTCGCATTCCATTCCATTCCAATTCGTTTTTTTGTGTGTAGTAAAAATGATATTAGATTTCCATAGCACACAGTTTTCCCTAAACATTTACGAGATCTGGACATATTTTGAGAACATACTGTCATAAAAATGCTATATGCAAACTGTTAATTTTTTTTTAAATAACGTAATGACGCCATGTTGATGTTTTACATATCATGTTACCTCGAGAATGGTAAGGTAGCGTTCTGTAGGTAGAGTTCAAATTTTATTTTAAAGTTTCTAACATATATAAAAGTATCAGATGCGATTGTGGATTATACCTATTCTTGTTTTGTTCTCAGCATTATTTAATACTTCATCAAGTTTTGAAAAGCTGACAAACCAATATTTTTGACTGATAGTGATTAATGTTTTACATAACCTAAAAACATCTATATAAAAAATGTTAAACAAAGATAAACAAAAATGGCGTCATTTACAAATGGATATAATTCCGGCTTTATATATCTACTAGCAGTAATTATATGGTTTTTAATTATTTGACATGTTTTCAGAGAAAAAAATGCATAAGGGTACTTGAAAATGTAATTTTTGCAAAAGGGTGGAAGCAAGATGGATAAAACGAAAAATAAAACTTTTTGAACTGCAAGATTAGAACACAATGATAAATTTGGTTATATGTCTGACCTTGATGTCGGGGAAACTCCTCATCGATTCCGATTGATCTATCGTTTGTAGCAACGTCTCAGTTAATGAAGTTTTGACTGTGGGCAATTCTAAAGAAATCATGGTGAAGTTGTTGACGAGTGGAGTTGGACCGCTGGCTAACAAATGCCTCAGTGACACTATAAAGGGAACGCCCAGCGTAATATGTTTGGGAATTTCACATCCGTTCTGAAATCAACAATTATTTCGATTGAATTTGTATTTCTATGATAACTACAATGTAGACATCTGGTATGTCCTTCCTTATCGCAAAGTTCTTATAACATCCACACCAGTTCCTTACAGCCTTTAAGTACTTTCAATATAAAATCTTAATCCCAATTTTTTTCTGTTAATATCATTTCCAGTTCCGTAAGTATTGATAAAAACTACCTGATTGGCATTTTCCCTTTTGTTTCGTGATATTCTCCAACAAATCGTCAACGCAAGTCATCCCTCATAAACCACGCACTGCTTACCACACAGAAATTCTTACCATGCAAAGTATTCACACTATGTGACAAAGAATGTTGTGGCAAACACACAAAGTTTTCAAAAAGAAAAAAAAAGAGACACCTTTTAAAATTACTTTGATATAAAATTTTCTAAAATCTTAACCCTGCATCTTTTAACAATTGACCCATTGTAAGCCAAATTTACAGCAAATTAAAACACTAAATAATATTTTATATCCAAACTACATTAAAACTTCAAACTTAAGAATTTAATATTATTTAAGTAATAAAAGGTAGAGAGAAAATTCCTGCAACAAAGAGTTCAAGAATTGTTCAAAAGATAAGAAGATGAGACCATGTGATGTTTTGCTACCTACCATGGCAAAAGAATGGTACGATCGATATAAACATAGAGAGTTTAGACGAACATAACTTCAAAAAAATCATTATTCTCATTAAAATAAAAATCTCATTTTTATTTTAATAATAATAACGGCGAATAACGCTCACCCTTTTATAGTAATCCGTGAAACTTGCCGACAGAGCAGCGTACAATACATCTGAAAATTTTCCTTTTGGCAGTCTGTTCCGGATCCTCTTGATAATGTTCAGGGATTCCGGCGTTTCCTCTGCGGTCCAAGCAGTTACTTTATCACCGATTAACGTACTTCCGTGCAAAGCGTGCCTGTCTGGATCCCTGATATAATGCCAGAACAAGCTGATCCCAATTGATACAGCCAGTACGTGTATGAGGTCAGTTATATTTTGTATTGCATTCTTCTAGAAGAAGAAATCTAACGGTTAGGGAATTAGGAAACAATCTACCTACCAATAAGGCGGACCATACTCCACTGCTTGCTTGGGATTTATCGTATTGCTTCGCCAGAATATCTGTAAGGTATGAGGTTCCAGCACCATCGCCCAGCGTTTTGATCGTTAAGGATATATAGGTTGCTCCATCACCCACTGCGTGACTGTATCTTAGTATTAGTGGATATATATAACGGTCCTGTTATTATAAAAAAATATTTATTAAAAAAACACTATTATACAGGATGTTACAGGGCGTCCAACCGGAAGCATCGATTAGTTATGGGAAAACGGCATGTAGCAAAAACTTGAGGTTTTGGAGTTGAACTAATGCGGGTGGAAGCCAATCCGGCTTAAATATTTTCAAGATGGCGGCATCAGAATATACAGAAAGTAGGTGTCAACTTTCCTATTTTAAATCGAGTTTTATATGACAAAACCCAGTCTAACTTGTGAAAAACTGCTACGGAAACTCTGTAATAGTCGATCGTTAACTAGATCAATTGATGTAAGAAAATAAGTTAATTCATGATGAAACTCTACGACAGTGGAGAGTTTCCCCAAATTGAAACCATTTATCGTAAAATATAGAACAACATCCATATAGTACGTTTTAGGAACCTCCAGGTAGATTTTCAGGTTTTAAAGGGTCTGAGAAATTTTAATAGAGGGATATTCAATATATATATATATATATATATATATATATATATATATATATATATATATATATATATATATATATATATATATATATATATATATATATATATATATATATATATATATATATATATATATATATATATATATATATATATATATATATATATATATATATCCTCACGTATTGATTCACGGATGGAAAAATGTGATGACACTATATTCCGGGATATCATCCGTTCGCTCGTTGAACTCCGACTGGAATCCTGCATCCGACTGGAATCCTGCAAATCCTGCATCCGACTGGAATCCTGCAGACGTTTCGCCAAAATCTCACTTGGCATCTTCAATGCTCGCTCTCCGAAAACACTTCGAATACAGTATTCGAAGTGTTTTCGGAGCGCGAGCATTGAAGATGCCAAGTGAGATTTTGGCGAAACGTCTGCAGGATTCCAGTCGGATGCAGGATTTGCAGGATTCCAGTCGGAGTTCAACGAGCGAACGGATGATATCCCGGAGTATAGTGTCATCACATTTTTCCATCCGTGAATCAATACGTGAGAATATATATATATATATATATATATATATATATATATATATATATATATATATATATATATATATATATATATATATATATATATATATATAAAAATTATTCACTCTTATTTTTGTGGATTTTCTTAGATTTCCTGGACACCAGTGACGTTTTTAAATCTCGCACTCCTTAAAAAATGTTTTCTACATTTACATCAACAGTAATTCACTCAGTTACCTGTCTTTTTTCCGATAGAGGTATCGGAGAGACTTTGGCTTCCCACATAGCAGTACCATTCTTCGGAAGTGGTTCGTTGCAGATGCCGCTGACGACACTTTTCAAAACGTTTTCGTCGAACGGCTTGTCCTCGGGTATGTCTAGCAGACTCGAGCAATCGTCCACGGTATAAGTGTCCCTTAACATGCACATGTAGCCCAGATGTTGGTGAAGAGTGCTTTTCAATTTCGGATAATCATTGGTGTCGAATATCTTGAACATATTTTTGTCCATGACCAGATTTTTTTTTCATTTCTCAAAAAAAAATCAGGTTTTATTATGCAGTTTAGGTTTGGAAGGTAGGTCTACGAAAGACTGGAATATCCTGCCGGAAGACTGTAACGATGATGTGCAGAGTGGTTATTCGAGCATTGGTAGTGCACTTAGCTTATGGTCTACAGCCGAGGTACATTTTTGCTTCCGGAGTCCCGGCGGTCGTAGAAGAGTCTGCCCAAGTAAAGGCATCGACTTCAATTTTGAATAGAACGTGCAACTATAGTTAGTGTAGTTTTGGATGCCACACCAGTTTTTATTTTAAGTCAACAGACTAATCCTGTTCTCGATGTCTTCAAATCAACGGAAGACGATGCAAAGTAAACTAAACTTGAAACTGTCCAATAGAGAACGTCAAGGGCGGTGACGTATGGAGTGCTATAAGAATATGATTTAAACACAAATGATAAAATAAAAAGTTTTGCTGACGACACTGTGATTTTTTATGAGGAAAAAACTGGCAGCAGTTAAACATAGATGTAGAAAAAAATTTTAAATATAACAAAATAAAATATATGCTTTACTTCATATACGAGCTCCCTCCCTAATCAAGGCCCCTTACAGGTAGAAAAGACAGACGAAATTCTAGAGACTGACTCGATAAAGTGTTTGGGAAGGACATACGAAATATGTCTGCAACAAAATTAGAGGCTTTTTATCTAAATTTAAATATCTTAGAGATTTTCTAGATATGACGCTGTTAAAAATAGTTTATCCGCCATTGGTTCGGTCGCAGTTATGTAATGACATCTGAGGTTGGGAAATTGTTGCACTATCACATCTCAAAAAATTGGTCAGCTCAGTTTATAAAAGTTACGTATAACTAAATACTTATCCAATCGAACGACTTTGTAAGGAAAATAAGTAGTTGGATATACAAAAACTATTTATCTCCAATAATATTCACAAAGGCGAATCGAAATGGAACCTGTAAGATATGAATGCAATACAAAAAACAATCAGTTTATCCCCCGCTTTGTGCGAGAACAAAAGTACTCTTTTATAAGTACTTTCTATCCCAACTTTGCAATCAATTACCAGAACAAAGTTTCATATATACAAGTCCCTTGTGAAGAAGTAGATTTTTGAAAATGGCAGGGCTATGAACTTCATATGATTTGAAATATGCCAGAAAACGGAATTGTGTTAAGAAATTGTAATAACTGACATGGCGTGGATTCTCTACGAATGATTTTTATGCATTAATGGTAAAAAAAATCTATTGCTTATATTGTAATATGTAAATCAAGTAAACCAACTCCAAATTTTATCACTAATGAGCATTGAATTGGTTAGCATTATAAGCAGTTATTTAAATATATTTGTAATTTGTTATTTGGAATAAACTTATATTTGTTTATTTAGTAAGTAACACATAAAAAAAGGATAAACCCATTGAATTATCAAAGGAATATGATCGTAAAAGACGACTTCTCAAAAAGTCCGGAAAAGTTGTTGCTGGTTTTGGCAAGTTTCTAACTACTGCTTTTTACAAAACTTCTAGATTCCTCCTGCGTTTCGAACTACTGTTAATACAAAAATTAATTTCCAGGAAAAGGAAAACTTAATATTTATGAATATGTATGACCAAAGTAATTAATCTAAATTAATACTTTGAAATGATCTTTTGTGTTCCTTATAATTTGATGGATTTAAGCGCAGTGCTCCGTTGCTCTGTTTAGAAGCGTTATCTTTTACTTTTTTAAGAAATTTTTAATTTGATTAATTAATTTCGTACTACTAAAGCGAACTAAATTAATCAATTACTCACGTGTTTCTTTACGTTAGCTTTGAGCTTACTCATCAAGTCGATTTTGGTATCGGCCTCTACTAGAGTGACAAGGCACAAGATGCTCCGCCAGTTTTTCTCCTGGACTGTCCAGATCATGTCCATACCTTCCAACAAACCGCCAAACTTTTTGCCGTACCTCCGAATCAACAGCAGCCGCACAAACTGTTTGTATAACGCGAGAAGAATAAGAACAGGTACTAGAATTATGTGTAGAGGAAATGTCATCAAATACAAGATGGGGCTCGGGCGTTGATTGCGTGCCGTACCGTGACGTACATTTCGAGTGAGAACCGTCTGAAACAACCAAAACAGGAAATCATTCATTTCATTTTTCTTGAACGAAATTGGGATAGTTTCTTTTCTACCATTCTAAAATGAATGCAGGATATGCAAAATCATATTTTTTAAAAAGCCTGTATTTTCTAAAACTGGCATGCCAGGGGAAAAAAACCCTAAAGTCTTCCAGGACCTATCTGAAAAAAGTAGGATTTCATCACAGTACGGAACAATTAAGATTTCTTCCATTTAATCATTTTTTATTTCGAAAACATAAGACAGGGGTATGGGGATTCTACCAAGTTTATATAGATGCGGCAACAGTGCATAATTGAATATATTTTAGAGCAATGACCTCTTGTTACATCGCAAGGAAATTAAAAATAAATGTTTTTGACCCGCCCTGTATAATTGAAAATATTTGTAACTTGTTGAACTCGGATAAGATTAGCACTTTACTTCTACAGCCATTGGTATTGGTATTGGTATTAAAGGGGGGCGCCCGCGCGGGCGTCCAAGCACTTAGGCCACCAGATGGGCCCGTTGTGCCCCCAGGCCGCTCTAAAGGGCGTCCAGAATCCCGCCCCTCCTATAGAAGGTCAGCAACTCCTTTAGCCCAATACCGTGCACTGAGTCCGGATCGATCAGGGCCGTTCCGAAGACTCATAATCTTGCCCATGTCAAGGCAGGGCACTCGGTGAGCAGATGATACGGGGTCTCCTCCCCTTCCATGCACCACCTACACTCCGGGTCGTCTCCAACGCCTAGCAAGCAAAGATGCCTCCTAAGCCTGCAATGTCCTGTGTAGGCCCTTGTTAGTGCTCTACACTCCCTTCTGGTCAGTCTAAGCAGCTCCCTGGTCCGAGGAAGGGCGGGCCCATCCATCATAAGCCTCGCCTGCCTCATTCCCGGAGCAACTCTCCAGCCCCCCGCGGCCCGGTCTCTCGCCCAGGCTTCGAGAGCTCCCCGCCTCACACACGGGGTGATACCCAAGCAGGGCTCTGGCCCTATATGCCTATGCGAGGAGCCCTCCCTGGCTAAGGCGTCCGCTGCCTCATTGCCCCGGATACCGGTGTGACCCGGGACCCAGACCAACGTGACCTTTCTCTCCTCAGCCACCCTCCTCAGTACCCCTTTGCACTCCTTTATCAACAAGGAGGGCGTACAGCTTCTACAGCCATATGGAACATGCAAATTTTTAGGTGATTTTGGCTCCCCTGTACATTTTATAGCAAAGTTGCGATGTGATTAACTCATGTGCCGAGTTATTACATTTTAATAAGCCAATCTTGAATTAAACATAATGGCAAAATTAGCAAATTGTTATACACTTACGTGCGTAGAAAACTATTCATTTGATCCATAAAATAAACATGCTATTTGGAATACAATTTAATATGCTTTAGTAAGAGTTTAAATTTATCAAAAGTGCTGATCTTTTATATGCGTAGCAAACGGTTAGAGCAATGAAACGTGTTCATGCTTGTTTAGTGATAGTAACAAACTTGTTATAGACTTAAATGAATCGCTTTTGCAACTGGAATTTTCACATTTCGATAACGTTTATCGCTTTAATTGAAAATGGACTTCGCCAGCGTGCTGTTGCTCGACAACTGGATGTGACACGCGCAGCACTTCGGAGAGTATGCCTGTATGAGGAGACTGGTTCCTTTGCTAGACGCTCAGAAACTGGCAGAAAGCGAATTACAATGGCTCGTGTTGACGGCTTTATTGTGCCAACAATAATAAGAAATCGTCACCTTAATGCGGTTTAAGTGCAACAACAGCTTCATGAAGTTCAAAGAGTGACCATTAGTCAGTGGACAGTGACAAGAAGGCTGAAGGAATATGGCCTGGCCCGAAAAACAACGGCAATTGGTCCAAAACTTACTCCAGGTTATCGACGCTTTGCACGGGATCAATGGGGGCCGGTTCTGTTCTCAAATGAGACCAGAATATGTCTTTTTGGTAGTGACCGACGAAAAAAAGTATACCAAGGACCAGGAAAGCGATTTGCAGAATGCTGCAATGGAGAGCGGAGCCCTTATGGAGGTTTTTCCTGCATGATATGGGGTGCAATTTCTATGAACGCACGAGCCGACCCTGTTTTCATCCGTAGGAGCAGCCGTGGTCAAGAAGCAAGAGGTGTAACAGGTGCTAAGATATATCGATACATCAGATCACGTAATATCATGACAATGCTAGGCCGCACACCGCAAGGATCGTGCAAGATTACATTACAGAAGTCGATTTTCCAGTTATGGAGTGGCCAGCATACAGTCCCGACCTCATTATCTCTCGAACAGCATTTTTGTTATCCGATCAGTAGTTTCTAAAAAAATTGAAATTAAAATCAAAAGTTTACAACGGGCCGATTTCTATGCACGCAAGTAGAGTTTATGTAATACATCAAATCCAAAAAAATACATTCTGATAATGACGAAAGTCCGTAACAGTAACAATATTTCTATTTGCGAATGTTATAAGTTATTAATCACGCTTTAATTAAAGCTAAATATGCCGTTGTTCAATTGAAGAAAAAGAAGACATAATTTAATGTTTTCAGTTAAAACTGTACGCTCGGTTAAACCCGGTTCGAGTCCAAGGCCACGTTAATGAATAACCGCAAGTATTGAGCAGAATATGTCGATAAAATAGCAGAAGAGAGCGTGGAGAAAACCAGACGTGGATTGTTCGACAACCTGTCAGGAACACAGCGTTAAGTACATTAAAAAACACAAATATTTCGGCAATGCATCACCCGGACTAGTAATAACAATTAAAAAAAAACCTGCTGACGTTCCGTCAATCGTTCTGTTAGCTTCTTCAAAGCTTAACTGAAACTGAAGATTGATGAAGAAGAAAGGAAAATTTTATTGTCGTTCAGAAAATAATTTCCCCACAATTTTTTTTTTATTATTGAAAATCTTGAATCTTCAATTCCGGGCCTACGCTTTTTAGGTTCACTTTTTTGAGAATTGACGTATGTTCTTTTTTTAAATATCCTGTATACGAAAAACTTTCCTAAAATAAACCTAATTTATTTGATGCCTGAGGTAAGAGACGCAAAAACAAATTATACGGAATATCCAATGACATCGACAGGATCAAATGTAACAAAAAAAGTAACCTTCAGCGATGTTTACAAGGATTGATATTAATTTTTTTGTTGTTTGCTAAAGTCTAATGTTTTAACCGAGGTTCAATTTTTTTCAATCGTTATTAAAATTACCAATGCGCGACATCAGTTTTTAACAATTTTTAATTATCATTAATAATCAATAATATCTAATTTGTTGGTCCAAATCAGTGTCATCGGAAATGTAATGTATGAAATGTAAAACATAATAAAAAAAGTTAAACAAAACTGTTTCCCTAAGATGTGGAAAAAGATTATAAAAACAAATTCTCGACCACAAATTTTATCCACGAAAAAGGAAACAAAGTCGAATTCCTTTAATTTATCAAGACATCGTCCGGTTCATTTCATTGCCATCACAAATTTTACAGCCTTTTTTACTTCCCAGCAGGCTCAAGTAAATATCGTTTTCACAATGAAATCAGATCAAAACTAGAGCTAAGAATTCACAAATTCGCAATTAAATTTATAATTATTTCTTACGATTTTGTGGAAAAAAATAATAAACAAAACCCATTATAAAATCCCCAAAATCAAACTGACTTATTGGAAAGAAATGAGATGAATAAAATTAATTTTTCAAAGAAACTTCCACAGCCTACTGTAACACTATTTGCAACTTGGTTAGAGGAAGAATCGTTGAGAGCGTAGCACCAAGTGTAGTACAGAGTAGTGTAGTGTTTCAAATAGATATTCTATTCACCAAGAGCCACAAAAGAAACAGATTTCTGCTACCCCAAGGGTACAAACAATAAAATGTCAATTACAATGCAAAATTAAAACAAACGAAATGCTATAGAACAGGAGAAAGACAGTTTTGACCAACCTTCAATATAGACCACATTTTAACCCGACGAACCTACTAACCGATCATGTACAATCAGCGAAGCGATCACTATCATTGCCCGAAAGCAATTGAAAATCATAAAACGTTCATTTAATAACTCTACATCAATTTTAGTATTAATGACCCAAATTATGTAGTTTTTGCTTGAATAGTAATAATTGGTCATCGAATAAACCTTTTTCACACTTCAGAAGAATGTATCAATTCTCATATCATTAAATATAGCCTTTGATCACTTTAATAAACACAGTCGACTTGCTCTTGAAAAAAGAAGTTTTTGATAAAGAAATATCTACCCATAGGAAGAAGATTTTTGGTTATGTTTTGCTTGTGATCACATAACACTGTTGATTTGTTTATTTGTTACTTAGTCGGTTAAATTAAAGTACACATTTTTGTAATTTTGAAAATTAGAATTTATAAAGGTTATGAATGAAATTTAATTTGGGTTTTAAAAAAGGGTTAGGGGGTGACACTTGGTTTAGAACAAAAGATAGTTTGTTATGTAAACGCCATCAGGGAGATACAACGAATATGGCGGATTGGCCAACGACAAATTTAATTAAAAATCATGGTTCACTTTTTGTATATCTACAAAACAAATGAAAATTCATATCATAAATTTACCCTGCCGTATATTGCACAAAGTGACTTTGATAAATGTTTAATATAAAATACAAAGTCTAATACAATATACAAAATTACACATAATACAAACATTTTAAACACAAATTTTACTTTAAACTTGATACTGAAAACAAGCAACAAGTAATTCTTAGTCTTTTTATTTTGGACATTTTCCCCTTTTTTGTTATTTATTTTTGTATATTTTTCTCATATTTCGTTTACTTTTTGATCGTTATGCGTTTATATTTATTAAGTTGTTTATTGTTGCGAGGTATACAGACAGAATAAAATTTTTGAGATGTGTTTTAAAAGCACTTAAGCACTTAATTGGCATTTTTCAAACCTCCCAGGTGTTGATTTTTATCGTTCCAGATTCGGCAGTTTTGGTACTTTTTGCTAACCCGACCAATCAGCCAAACAGTTTAATGGTGGTCCCAACAAAGTCGCAACTATTAAACAACAAAAACTAAAATTAATTATTGTCGCCAAAGTACGCACCGATACAATTTGATTTGATAAAAACGGGTCCGTCATGATGGGCCGCGTACGGCCGCCTTTAGATAGAGCGTACGAGGCCAGTGATATCTATTTCGCGTTTTTGCAGTATCATCCGGCAATTGAAATTTATTACGCGCGAGACGGGAGATTTCATTCCCACAATGTCGGCGACAGAAGCGGCGTGTACGAACGAACAAGTCGCGCGTGACGCTACCCGGTTCGAAAAGGCGTACCTCCAGTCGCCTGCGCAGTGCGACCTTCAGAAAATCAAAGCGGCCTTGAAAGACTTGGCCGCGCAGCATTCCAGAACCGCGGAATCCGAGCCCGAGAACTGCGACAAGCATCAACTGTCTGCCCAAAAATGGAGGCACCAACTGCAATTGCAAAGCGAGGACGAACAAAAGCTGCAACTAGAAGTTGCCAGGTTCGCGGAGTTGCAAACGCTGGGACCCGCTGTGCGACGGGTGGTGAGTTTAGGAAACAAAAATGGAGTCGTGCCGCTGGCTTTCGACCTCTTGGTCTTCGTGTTCTGGGTCACCGACGAAAAATTCAGACAGCATCACTACCAAAGCCTTCTAGAGTACTATTTCGAGAACCTCGGTTGTGGGCAACCATTCACCAAAGACGACTTCAAGGCGCAAGTCCACGCCGCGCTGCTAGCTGCAAAGCTGGAAGTCGCTGGTCACTTGGAATGTAACTCCGACAAACGAAAGGAACTGCTGGATAACATCTCATCCGATTTGAAATTTAGGCGTCTAAGCAGGGAGGATGTATACGAAATCGTCAGAAATAAGTTCGGAACTACGGACTACGAGCTGGTGTTCTACGAAGTGGTGAGGCTAGGCGAGCAAAACGGCCACTTGGGTCAATATTATAGACTGAACTTGGACGTGGAAGTCGAGGGACAACTTCAGCGGGTCGAGCTGTTTGTTAAATTGTTGATACAAGATAACGCCACGTTGAAAGTTCTACTGGAGTCGGCTTCTAGGAAGGAAGAGTTCTTCTACCAAACGCTCATGGCAGACTTCGAACGTCACGGCTTGCAGTCCATACTGACGTTCGCTCCGAGATGTTACTTCAGTCGGGTGAACGATATCTTGGTGCTGGACGACATGACCGTGAGAGGATTCTCCGACTTCAAGCCCAACGCGACGCTAGCCTACGAAGAGCTAAGCTTGTTGGTGCAACAGCTAGCAAGGCTCCACGCGTGCACGTTGATACTAGAGGAGAAGCTCAGCAAAACAGAAGGAAAAGAAGTACGCTTGAACGACTTGTACGGCAAGTACGTAGATCCCATCGAAATGACTCACGAGTTGGAAATGTACAGAGCTAGTACCGACGGGATCACCCATTGCATAGAAAAATTTCCGCACGTCGCTCGGGATATACCCGTCGACGAATTCAAAGCGAGAGCTGAGAAAATATACGACCTGAACTTGAAAAAGTACCAAGATCCGAGAGGTTTCCGCAGAACGATCGGACACGGCGACATGTATGTGGCAAACACTTTGGTTAGATTTGACGAATTCGGAAAACCGGTGGAAGCGAGCCTCATCGACTTCCAGCTCGTCAAATATAGCCTGCCCACCGAGGATTTGTTGATCCTCATTTACATAAACAGCAGCAAGGCAACGAGAGACAGATACATGGAAAAACTGTTGCAGGAATATTACCGGGAATTAGCTAGGTGCTTGGAAACTTTCGGAATTGATATCGGCAGCGTGTTTAGTTTGAAAGATTTCAACGCGGCCGTGAAATACCTGAAGTCGCTAGCAATCTGTCACGCGATGTCGTACAACCAGTTCATCAAGAGTCCGGACCACGTAAAGCAAAACGTCTTCACGAACGAAGAGATGCACAAGCATTACCTGATCGACAACAAGAGGGAGTTCATTGACATGGGTATGGCTTCGGAGGATTTTAGGAAGTTGCACGAGGATATGATTACGGATTTCTATGAAATTTGTTTAAGCGAGGATATTTCAGATTAGGCTAAGGTGTAGAAATAGCAGCTGTGTAATTTTTAAGCTCATTAAAGTTTTTCGAGTATCCATAGTACAAACATCAACTAGAAGAAAAAGGTAACTCTACCTCTCCAGTAATTGAAACAAATCTCGATAAAGTTCCGTATGTCCCAGCATGGGCTATTAACGGAAATTATTGGAATATAACTCAAATTATTGTTTTTCACCTTAAGCGTACGGAATGCTGTAAAAACTTGTTGATAGACAGACGATTCAGTTCCGATGTTTCCTCCCTAACTCAAAAGTCTTTGGTAATAGTATATTTTCTACTCCCGCCTGCAAAATACCTAATTACACACCGATCAAGCGTGCGAGAACGGCCACTTTACCACGTCAGGTTCGTTTCCCACGGATCCGAGCCACTTCGGACATTTCCGGAATTTTACCGCACGGGTTTGGGAGCAATCGGATGTTTCCGGTGATATTTCCCGAGCTTTGAATTTTGACGTTTGTTTATTCTGACGGTTATGTCAGTGAATGTACTTGTGCGGTTTTGCGAAAACTAACGGTCATAGAAACTGTATAATATGCAACACATTCGGAATTTGATTTATTAGATTTTGCAATCCGAATTGACATATAAAACATTATTTCAAACTTTTCTAACCAAAGATTCGGCAATAGATTTATCACTACTACATTTTCTGAGAAAGGTTCCGAATTACTGGAAAATGGGTTCAACTTTAACATAAATTACTCAAACAGCAATAAGGAGTTAAATTGTTTAGGGGTTGATTCCGAACCTGTTCTTGACGGTAATAATAACGATATCGTAAATAAACGCGGCAACAATACCAACTAATATTTATGAATCTTCAACCTCCAAAATTATATTATTCAAATAAATTATACAAACAGGATATGCCCAGTAGTTACGTAGTTTCTTTTGTAACAGTCAACTCTCAACTCTACTAATAAAAATTTTAGATTATGTCGCCTTTAAACCTAAATACGTTATCAAAAATTCGTTCGAACTAAACAACAAGGTTAAAATTCCTCTTAAGGCAATTCTAGTTTCCTTTGACGTCCAAAATGTATTTCCTAGCATTCTACCAATTGATGCAATAACGATAATAGACAATATTCTCACTCAGAGAGTAGTTAACACTATCATAAAACAACAACTAAATAGTCTAATAGTTTGTTTGGACTAAAATTATTTTGAATTTACTGATCAAGCGGAGCGAAGTTTTTAATAAACAAGTGAGTTAAAAAGTTTACCGAACTTGTTGAGTACTATACTTTTTCTACGACCGTCAGTTTCTGGGTACATTTTCGCACTGACATGAGCGTCAGAACTGACAAACGTCAAAATTCAAAGCGTGGGAAATATCTCCGAAAACATTGCTTCCAAACCCGTGCGGTAACATCCCGGAAATGTCTGAAGTGGCTCGAAACTGACGTGGTAAAGTGACGCTTCCTGCACGCTAGATCGGTAATTAGGCATTTTACAGACGGGAGTAGAAAAACTTTTTAACTCGCTCGTTTATTAAAAACTCGCTCCGCTCGTGTCAAATAAACTCATAAGTCAGATGCCGTTTATCGCACTTATTGCATAATATACTTGTTTTGATGGACTACTTATTAATTTATTTGCTCAAATGAACAACGTAATTTCACTGGCACCCCAGCGCCTGCTACAACATCCTGCCTATACGAATATATAAACAAGTCTGGTAAACCCTTCTTCGGAACACGGGCGCGCTCTCCTTTTATCAGCCGCGCACTGTTGCCACTGTTGCAAAATAACAAAATGCGTAGTTACAGAAAGAAAACCGTACAATACAATTATAAAGTTTACCAAACGTGTTGCATACTATACTTTTTCTACGACAGTTAGTTTTTGGATACAATTTTGCAAAACAACACGAATACATTCACTGGCATGACCGTCAGAATTGACAAACTTCACAATTCAAGGCGTGGGAAATATCCGACTGCTCCCAAACCCGTACGGTAAAGTCCCGGAAATGTCCGAAGTGGCCCAGACCCGTGGGAATGGAGACTGATGTGGTAAAGTGACGCTTCACGCACGCTAGATCATTGTGTAATTAGGCATTTTACATATGGGAGTAGAAAAAAATTATTAAACGAGTTATATTCATCACTCGGGTTACATTAAAAGTGAAAATGCAGATTTATTTAGAGTCCTAAAGCGTCGATCTGTGTTGGTAAAAATATTACGAAATTACCGAAACTCACCTTAGTCCAAAAGTTGATAATAAATGAGATACATTCATTTTTGAAATAATCGAGCTTTTTGCACAAAGTTTCGCAAATCGGTTTTTTTTTTGGCATGACAAATCAATTTTCGTGAAAAATTTTGGGGCCAATTGTAGAGGCCGCTACGTGTATTTGATACTTCATAACTGGAAATCTTACAAAAACCCCTTATGCGCTGCTTTTGAAGCTTAGCCTTCAGTTGCTGTACCCATTTCAAAATCATTAAATCCGTGAATACCTTTCACAACTGTCTGAACAGACGTAAACAACATCTAACATTTAAACGTGTCATTATTCCTCCATTATACCTAGCTTGACTGCCTGGTCAAGATTTAAGTCAATTTAATTTAAGGGAAGAGATTCAATAATAACAATATGCTATAATCTGGGTAAATCTTGATTCGTTATCATTTAATGCATGGTGTGACTATTTTCAACATTTTTTCTTCCTGTTTTATTCTTAGAGCGACTTAGTTGGATACTTACATTGTCACTGTGTAAAGCAAACAAAATCCATTTAACATAATTAAATTAGAACAAGAAATGTTCAGATTTTCACAGTTGTTTATTGGTCTTATCAAATATAAAATATGGCAATTATCCGACACCTATATATATATATATATATATATATATATATATATATATATATATATATATATATATATATATATATATATATATATATATATATACATACATATATATATATATATATATATATATATATATATATATATATATATATATATATATATATATATATATATATATATATATATATAAACAGGTAGTAATAGATTTTTAATTACCACTATAGGACTATAAACTTAAGTTTAACAACGGAGATGCATGTAACTGCAATTGGTCAATAGGTAGTAGATTGAAAGAATCTCCAGAGCTTCCAACAAATTTAATTTTTCAGTTTTACTATATTATTTTGAGAAGCCTTATTTTCAATTGATAGACATATGTAAAAATATTGGAATTTACTGTTGAGATTATATTAAATTAGACAATACGTGTTCGTTTACGATATTGTTGTTATTACCGTTAATATCAAGCCCGCAATCAACCCCTTAGCAAATTAACTCCTTATTGGTGTTGGAGTAATTTTAATTGAAATTGAAACCCTTTTGTACTAATTAATCTTTCTCAGAAAAATTTAAATTAAAAAATCTGTTGTAAAATTTATAATTAGTTGTAAATTTATGGTTAGAAAAGTTTGAAATGACTTACTGCTTTTTAGTGGGTTTTATTAAATTGTTCAACTTGGATGTTTGTCTTCTAAGACCTAGTAAATCAAATTCTATGGGATTAATTCCATGAGATAATTCAGAATGTGTTACCTTTATATCTTTTTGCTGTACTTATGCTTCGCTCTTCTTTTCACCATTTTAACTCACCTTGGAGTTGGGATCTTTTTGCAGGGGGGCTATTGTTGTTGGTTGTTAGTTTCATAAATTTCGGATATACTCTGTTGTGTAATCACTTGTTGAAAAACCAAATGTTTTGAATATATATTCTGCATCGTAGTAACAGTTTAAAATACCATTTTAACAATTAACACAATTAAATTAGAACAAAAAATGTTCAGATTTTCACAGTGACTTATTGGTTTATGTTTCGGCACTGTATTGTTATTATCCCCGTCTCCACTGTAAGCTATAGGACTACCTATTTTTCAAGTTTTGGTGGGCGTAAAATCTGGGATTTTCAAAACAAGAACATCTAAGAACACTAGTAGTTAGGAGGATGGAGGAAGGTCCTTCAGCGGACCCAGCTGTAGTTTACTTTTTAAGTAATTTGGCTTTATTTCAAAAATGGAAAATATTAAAAGAACAAAGGGCAAAATAAAAATACAAACAACAAAAACAAAAACGAACTAGATTTTATTGTACTACTTTCACCAAAACTAGCAGTGTGTAGCCGCCTTTAGACATATCAGCTACATCTGATGATGATCAACAAATATTCAAATCCTTCTTATTGTTTAAAAAATATTAATTGGAAAATATATTGATCTGAAAAAATCAGAATCTATTATTTCTAACTAACCAAAACTAAATCAAACAAACGTTAAGATTAAATTAATAATTTTGGTTGTTACATATATGGAAATACTTTATTTATGTATTCATTAATTCGATCAGTAATTATTTACAAACCAAATCATCAGCATAGATGTCGCAGTATCACCAGACCTATCTAAAAGTCATAACATCATATAATTTAAAATTTCAGTCAAGAAAAATTGTTGAAATTCCATTTTTTATATTAACGTCTTAATAATACGAAACTTTTGGATCGACGAGACGTGGTACGTCAGTCTGACGTCACTATCACAGTCGATGTATTAACACTGGTGGAAAACCACTGTCCACAAAAAGAAGAAGGTATCTGTAACTGTCAAGGAACATAACGAAAAAGAAGATCGTATTTGTTTCTAAGTTTGCCAATCCTTCTATGACGTTTTCCTGTTTGTTGCTTTGATGTTTTTCTCATTAATCATAAGTTATACAGCACAAAGTTTTGATTTTTGGAAAGATGCGATGAAAGTGACATTTAGTTGACGCCTTTGCGATGTGAAAGGAAAAATACAAGCAACTATGCCCTGAAGACTTCTATAGCTTTTGGGCATTGACCAAAATAAAACTGGGTTAGTGCAGCTGCTATTTGTTTAAATGCCTTCTAACAAATAGTCAAACTGTACAGTATTTTTATCCACTTAACTCAGAAAGCAAGAGCATAGCTTAATTTTATTTATGGTAATTTGATACAGTCCACAATATGGATCCTTTAAGGCTTGGGGAACCTAAAATTCCCTGTCCGAATGCAATAGTGATTAAGGAAGAGGATGATATTCGGCCTTGGTAAGTTTTTTAACCTTTATTGAACCAGTAATTATTTGTTTTTTTTTTATCAGCAAGCAGGAGCCTCAATTTATAGAAGAACTACTTGAATGTGAAATACAGCAAGACCCATCTGAATGTGCTAATGGGAATGAAATTGATATTGATAATCAATTACAAAACCACCACAGTGTGTTCTCCATAATTGATGGTAAATATAATGACATGGTGTGCTTAATACTATTATCACTTTTTTAGATTCCAAGGCACAGGGTGGACGAGTCCGTAAATTATGTGAGTGCCCTTTGTGCCAAGCAGGTGCAAAGTGTACAATCGGTAAAAGGCAGCATAGTTGTCATGTACCGGGCTGTACCAAAGTGTACAGCAAAACTAGCCACTTACAGGCACACCTTAGGAAGCACACCGGAGAAAAACCTTTCATTTGCAATTGGGGAACCTGCATTAGATCTTTCACAAGATCGGACGAGCTCCATCGCCACTACAGAACGCACACGGGGGAGAAAAAATTCGTTTGTGAAGAGTGTAATAAGGCATTTACTAGGTCTGACCACTTGAGGAAGCACAGGAACACTCATAAAGGAAAAACTGGAACGGGCAATTCAGTTCTGCCTAAATTATATACCATCAAGCAGGATGAAAAAAACGATTCCCCCCTGCCAGGTACCAACAGAAAGGCTCCAAAGCAAAATTCGGTAGAACCAAAGGATATTGTCAACAAGGTTGTGTCAGATAATTTCCCAATCCCAAACAAACAGGGTAAGTGTTTTTGCCATTTTCACTGCAAAAGGGACAATTTTATGTGTTGCTAAAAGGTTTTAATAGCTAATTTATGACCTGTGGCGATATGAGACTGTCAATTTATGTGCCTTTTAACATTTTCTGCAATACTCCAGATTTAAATTATACAAATACAATTACTTTACAAAAATCAGCATCATTCAATGGAAAATCTGCGTAATACCACTGGAAAAAATTGTTAAAAATAATAATTTAGTACTAGATAGTAATTAATGTTAATTAACAAAAACTAACTGTTAAATATAGTTATTAAATAAAATGGCCTTCTATAAGAAGTCATACTAAAATATTATGATATTGAATTGAATTAAAAACAATTGATAAAGTATATTATAAACTATTATCATTTAAAAAAGCACAACTTTATAACTCAAAAAAAAAAACTGACAAAAGTGGCTACTCCATTGGTTTCTAAGTAAAAAAATTTCTATAGACGTATTTATTAACGGAGATAAGAAAATATTGGTGACATCTTTCCTTTGACACAAAAGGGCACCATGAACTGTAAATTGCGAGCCTACAATTATACTTATAATTTATAATTCCGCCCCCTTTAAATTTTTTATTTAACATTTGGGAAAAAAACGTCAAATATAAAAGTTTTATATATACAGGGTGTTGCGGAAATCACCTATATATAAAAGCCATATCTTTTAAATCCCATAAAAATTCTGCATTTATAGATTTAGCAAAACTTACATTCTCTTTATTATAAAATGCCTTATTCCGAAAGAGTAAAGCAAATAAATGTGCTAAATGCACGGTTCAGGCAAAAAACCTTTCATCGAATCTATGAAAAATTTTAATAAACACGCCGCATAGTCAAAAAGGAGAGAAGATTGGAAAGGAATGAAGACAGTGATTTCAGGACTCTTTAACCTCCCTCAAAAACCCAAGGTACCACAAAAATTTACACCCAGACATCAAGAAAAAAGGTTTGTTTTGCCTATACAATAATGGAAAAAATTAACTGAAATGATGCTTATTTAAAAAATGTTTTTTGGTATGTTAAATCGAAAAAACAGCACACAGTGAGCCACAGTAAATCCTCAAAGGGAATTTCAATTTCAAGGACATCAAACTGTAAATCTGTGGCGTGCTATTTTAAACAACAGGATAATAGGTCCTCATTTCTGCGACGTTACTCTAAGCGGTAATGGTTATCTAAAATTTCTTCAGAATAAATTAGAAAACTATATGGTCGAGCTCCCAATGGTACAAATAGCATTTGTTAAATACTATTTAAATCAAATATTTAATGAAAGAACTTCACAACCACCTAAGATATTAGGTTTTATTCATATATCGGGAGTATTATATCTTTAAAAGAAGTAGTATCGTGTCTATTTAAAAAATGCCATATTGCCAACAAGTTACCTAATGTGGGCAGCTTTAAATTCAACAAGAATTTGTATGGGTGTTATCTTAAACCTCGAATATCTCAAAAGGTAAGTAAGTAAGTAAAAACTTACCATATTTTTTGTCCTAGAATTGTTATCTGAATAAGAATATAGGGTGTTTCATTTGAAAATATTGAGGTTTTGTTAACAGAATTCGCCAAACCGGCACCACCTATTTGGAACATCCTGTATAAGCTGCTGTAGTGCATAATCTTCTTAGTCTGTGGTTTAATTTGAAAAAAAAACACATAACCTCAATTTATGCCTAGACTGTGCAAAATTCGGATAGGAATTTCTTGAGAAAGTGATCTCTATTTTAACGAAGGATTCAAAAAATGTCGAAATATGCAGGGTGTTCCATTTAAAATAACAAAGATAATTTTGGGGGGGGGGGACACTTTCGCGATACCCTGTGTCAACAAAATTCCAATAAACTTTGGTACAAACCTTTTTTTCGTATCTCCTATGGTGTACAACCACCAGAACTTACAAGCGTAATCGAGTCAATAAACAACCGTTGATTACCAACTTACTAATAAAATCAATTGAAAACGAGTATATCTGGCAACACCGCATGGCCAGAGTAACCAACATTTCAGATTTTTGCCGTAAATGTCTAATAGGACACTCACCGTGTTGTTGTATTTTTCGTCTTTTTCTCAAACGTTAAATGGATGAAAGTTAAAGGGGAGTGGGGTACATTATAAATAATCACCGGGTACATTTTGACGTTACATGTCGCCGTAATTTCAGCGACGTCGTGCGATTCGCACTGTTTGGAAAGCCAGGACTCTGGGGACGACGAAATGACGGGGGAAACTTCCGTAAAAACCACCAACGAAGAGGAGGACCAGCTAGACCTGTTCTTCATGGAAATCGGGCCTGTGGTAAAATGCCACGAGTGCGACTACGAATCGAAAAGCATACAACAGTTGAACGAGCACGTGAAAAAGGTTCACGAGTCGGTGAAAGGGCGTAGACTGTACGAGTGCGACCATTGCGATTACAAAAGTTTATGGAAGAGGAACGTCACCCGACATTCCACGACGCATAACAAGTTCAACGATACCGCGCTGTACAAGTGCGCCACTTGCGGTTACGGAAGTATCTACAAAGGCAATTTGGTGACCCATATCCACACCGTCCATCAACGTTCGTCCCCGGAAACCGAATGTAAAGTTGACGACGACGTTATCGAGTGCTCGAGCGACGAAGAGGTAGAAGAGGACGAGGATAGTGCTGGGGGAATCTTGAAAACGACACTGGGTGAACATTTGAAAACTCACTCAAAGCAGGTCAAGGGATTGAGGGCGTCGGGGAGGGGTAAAAGAAATTGTGTCGACGGTGTCGCAGAAGACAAACGGAAATTGGTAAAATAAGGGTCCAACGGTTACTAAGTGCACAACCGATTGACGCAAATTTAAGGGCGACGTTTATTTTAGTGAAATGGTAATTTTAGTAAAGACTAATGTGGAAGGTTATGCTTTGGCGATGTACATAAGTGAATACAACTGTTATTAGATGAAACGTTTGTCTTATTTGGCTTTAACGACAGGTTCTGAAAGAAAGTGAGGGGAGAATTCCTTTAGCTTTAGCTTTTAGCTCTCTCCATGTGGAAGTCTAAGACAGTGACTCCATTCCCTGCCTTTGCTTGAAGGTGGTGGACAATGATTCAGGATTTCGGATTATTGGAGGTGTTTTCTAATTGGATGGGGCGATTTTTGGATCTATTTTAAAAAGAAAACTTCATATGTCCTAAAAATCTTAAATTTTGAGATTAAGAGTGATAAAATTTTCAAAAATAACATTTTTTTTTTTAATGTCGGTAATACCACTTTAGATATGTTAATCTGTGACGAGGCATTAATTAGTATACCTCAGTTTTTTCAACATACACCAGTGGCGGGCGTACGGAGTTTGAGTGGCGTGCCACTGACTGTCTATGAGCAAATAATATTTTGGTGAATTAGGTCATCACTGCACTGGTTAAATCGAGAACTTTTTTTTTTGAAAAATAAAATATCTATCCAAAATAAAATATATAGTTTTTAGTTACCAACTAGTGTCCTTCGGAAAAAATATATTACAAGACTATTCCTTTTACTTTTACAGTTTTAGTGAAAAAACAACATCCTAAAAAGATAAATAATAAACGAATCTTATTTAAAAAAAAAAAAAAAACACTACCTACTAATAATAATTTTTTACCAAATTATCTGTTAATAAATTGATAAACTTTTTGAAAAAAAGTAGAATATAGGGTCAAGGGTTAAACAATCAATGAATCAATCAAAAGAGATCAAATCTGCTCATAAATGAATGTAAATGTCATTATTTGTCTATGAGCAAATAATATTTTGGTGAATTAGGTCACCACTGCACTGGTTAAATCGAGAACTTTTTTTTTTGAAAAATAAAATATCTATACAAAACAAAATATATAGTTTTTAGTTACCAACTAGTGTCCTTCGGAAAAAAATATATTACAAGACTATTCTTTTTACTTTTACAGTTTTAGTGAAAAAACAACATCCTAAAAAGATAAATAATAAACGAATCTTATTAAAAAAAAAAACACTACCTACTAATAATAATTTTTTACCAAATTATTTGTTAATAAATTGATAAACTTTTTGAAAAAAAGTAGAATATAGGGTCAAGGGTTAAATAATCAATCAATCAAAAGAGATCAAATCTGCTCATAAATGAATGTAAATGTCATTATTTGCCTATGAGCAAATAATATTTTGGTGAATTAGGTCACCACTGCACTGGTTAAATCGAGAACTTTTTTTTTGAAAAATAAAATATCTATCCAAAACAGAATATATAGTTTTTAGTTACCAACTAGTGTCCTTCGGAAAAAATATATTACAAGACTATTCCTTTTACTTTTACAGTTTTACTGAAAAAACATAACATCCTAAAAGATTGAGATAAGGATATAACAGCAATTTAAATGGAGTATGGTCTGTTCATAGATAGATAGATAGATATTTATTTCGCTTTTCGATACTACATATAACACATATATGGGTATATTAAGCACGTCATATCACATTGAAATACAGTGTTTAAACAATACATTTAAAAAAAATCATCTAAGTAGAGACACCTATCAGTTAGAAAGGTCTTAATTCTTTTCTTAAACAGAGATAAACTATCAGTTTCTTCGAAGCATTTAGAGAAATTTAAAGCTCTGTTATATACTTTCAAGCCAAAATACCTTGGGTTTTGTTGCCCGATATGCAGTCTAGAGAATGGAACATCATCATGTTACTTTTGACGTAATTCAAAAAGAAATAAATAGATAATGAAGGAAGTTCCCTAAATAAATCCCTTCATGAATGTTTACTAGTTACACGCATCATGTAACGAATAGCACGTTTTTGTGCTAAGAAGACCCGGTGTGCACCTGTGGCTAGACCCCAATAAATTATACCGTAACCTATCACTGATTGGAACAGCCCATAGTACACCAGCTTTAAAACGTCAATGGATACCATATCTCGAATATTTTCGGTTAAGTATGAGCAGGAGCTTAATTTGGGCAATATGTTGTCGATGTGATGATTCCATGTAAGTTTGTTGTCAATGTGCAGACGGAGAAACTTGGTAGCCTCCACGTTTTCTATAGAACGTCCCCCTAATTGGAGAAGAATACTGGAATCAACGCGAGTATTTTTTGTGACTATTTCCATAGCTGTTGACTTAGATTTATTTAATTGTAGTCCGTTATCGCGACACCGTTCATTCACCCTCGTGACCCTTGGTTCTGCGGCCCCTTTTAAATTAGCTCTGTTTTTATCTGTAACTAAAATGCTTGTGTCATCTGCATACAGTACAAATAATGCATCTATATTTTCCTGAGGAAGATCGTTAATAAAACGATTAAAGAGGAGCGGTGATAGGCAGGATCCTTGCGGGGTACCTCTGCCTACATATTAAGGGCTAGATTTTGAACCGCCGATCACAACCTGCTGTACTCTCTCGGAGAGGTAAGATTTGACCCATGAGTTTGCTGGACCTCTAATGCCGATGTTTTCCAGTTTTTTTAGGCTGTGATCGACAGTGTCGAATGCGCGGCTCAAATCAAAAAATAAGCCTAATGTGGCTGTTTTGTAATTAAGGCTATTGTAGATATGCTCCAGAGCACAGTTCAGAGCTGTAGTTGTGGCGCGGTTGGCTCTAAATCCGTTCCGAGCATCAGAAATCAAAGAGTATTTCTCAAGGAATCTCTGCAGTCTATCATTATAACAGGACTCAAACATTTTTGCCACTTGACATTGAAGAGCTACCGGGCGGTAGTTCTCTATGTTGGTTTTATTGCCTTTGTTTCTAAAAATAGGTACGATTTTTGAGTTTTTTAAGGCCTGTGGATACTTGCCTTGGAGGAAGCTCAGATTGACTAAATATGATAGAATAGGAGCTATAATATCTTTAATAGAGATTAACAAAGTGCCCGGTATTTCATCGATTCCAGATGATTTCTTACGGCATACTTTTCTAATTACTTGTGTTATCTCTACTGTTGTAGTAGGGTAGAGAAACATCGAGCTTGAGTGTATTTTAATATCAGGCGTTAGATTTTGAGGCTGCTTGCTATTGTTAGCAAGATCAGCAAAATATTTGTTAAAAATTTCACAGATTTTGTATCCGTCTTGTAGTGTTTCACCACCAACGGTTATGTTGGTTATAGAAGAGGATTTACTTTTATGGTTGCTATTTTCCCTGACTATTGCCCAACTTTCCCTACTTATGTCATCAGATTTCATTAACCTTAAATTGTGGTGAGTTTTCTTTGCGTGTTTAAGTTTTTTGTTGTAATGGGATTTATATTTGTTTCAGTTTTTCGTATAAAGTCTTAAATTTTTTATCTAAGTCGTCAGATTGAATATCGTAGAGCAAATTATTCCAATCTGTGTTGGATACATAATCTATAAAAGAATTTACATTATTTTCGCTAAACTTTCTGAAAAAGCGTTCTGTACAATTATTATGGCAGAACTCCTCAAAAAAGAAGAGCTGAAACGTGTGGTCAGAGACACATGTGTCTACTGCCAAGCTGCCAAGTGGGCTCTTCTATAGAAGCAACTAAATTATACTCAAGAAGTATATTATTTAGTATTTTAGTTTGTTTGTTGTTTTCAAGCAAGTTGACGTTAATGTCACCGCACAAAATGTGCTTATTTTTAGGCTCGTATATAGCTTCTAACATTATTGAGAGTTTCTCTACAAATGCTTCGAAGTCTCCCTTTGGAGATCGGTATACAGAGAAAATTGTGATACATTCCTTGTTAAGCTCTAATTTTATTGAACACATTTCAAAAGTTTTTTCTTCAGAGTTATTAAATGGAATTTTTGAAAAATTTAAACTTTCTCGACCCAAGATACAGACTCCCCCTCCTCTGCAACTAGTTCTCGAGAAATAACTAAGAACCTTATAATCTAAAAGCTTAAGAAACTTAATGTTTGAGGATTCATGATGTTCTGAGATACACAGCACATTGACGTCGTGATTATTTAGTATTGATTCGAGGGCTTCTTTTTTGTTTGCGATACCCCCTTGAATATTAAGGTTCATAACTACGAATTTGTTAGGTGTCTCGCCGTCTGGTTTAAAAAATCCTCATTTTCTGAGTCGTATTTACTGGCGCTGTTTTTTACATTTTTCTTGGGATAGAAATATCCGCTTAGTCTTGCACCTTGCGGCCATAAGTCTCCGTTTAAAATTGCATCCTTGTGCGTGAAAGGAGCACATATTTTAAAGGAACTCCACTGTTCGTTGTGGTTAAAGTTAAGTTTTTCACAGCTTACTCTACAGATATCAGATAAGTTTTCTTCAATCTGTGTTGATGTTGTGGATTTATCCAACCTTGTTACATATATCCAAGCTTTCTTCTCAACTCCTTGTATTCTACTTGTTGTGTTTGTTACTTCTATAAAAGTTCTATTTCTTCGCCGTATCGGCTGGACTAATTGAAATCCATCGTCATCTTGCTTGTTATTGTCTGTGTTAGGCCAGGTTTTTTTAGGTGTCGTCATTAAAGTGTCTCTTTTTTGTGGGTCTGGTTGTTGTTTTGTTTTTGTTTGATGTGTCTTTGGTGCATGTTTTATCGAGACGTGGTGAATACTGCGGCTGGTACCCGCTTCTTTTCGAATGAGCTTATGCTTGTCATTGACAGATGTCACCTCGTGTTCTACGCTAGTTGTTTTATTTGAGGTGGCTAGAGCCGCGTTGTCTTCCAATTGTGAGGTTAGAAATTTTAGATGTTCGTCTAATTTCATAATTTTCTTATTTTGGTAGTTAATTACTTTATGTTGCACACCTGCAGTTGTCTTTAATTGACCGATGTCGTCCTGAAGTTTCATAAACATCGTAGAAATTACACTAGTGCTAACATTACAGCTATCGCAGAACCATTTGAGATTTTGTGTTTCTAGCAATAATTTCACTTTATCTCGCGATAAATTGATACACTGTTTGTGAAAAAGTGCGTTGCACACACCACTACAATTAATTTTTATATCGTTTGCCAAAATTTCCTGCGAACAGGATCCGTACGTCTGAACTCGTCGCCGCCATCACTACATAGATATAAGAAAGTGACCAATTGCTTTTGAATGAGATTATCCAAGGGTGGCCATTAACATACAACGCAATAAGATTATTACCTAAAGTTTCGGAATTTAAATTCAAGTAAAATTGTGGTACGCAATAGAAAATAATTTTATACCTACCCGTGTTTAATATTCTTTGGTTTGGTATACTACTTAGTTTAAGTGTTTTAGTAATCTTTCTTATTTCGTGTGTAATACGGCGTGTGTTGAATCGTGTGCGAATTATGCAAAATATTTGCGAGTCTAGTGTATCTCAGGAGATGCTCCCGCCCAAATGTAGAAAACACTATTCTATTGAGACTAAGGAAGTTATAAACAAGGTTTAATTGACTCTCATTGAACGTGGTGAAAGTGATCAAGATATAATATGGCGTAAAATTTACCAGTTATAGGAGGAACAAAGCGTGCCTACATTAGATATCTTAATTAGGAGGCTTGAATAAGATGAAACCGATGTTAAATGTGGCAGAACTACCTTATGGAAGTGTATTCAACACATGGGTTTTAGATTTAAAAAAATTGACCAGAGGCAAGTTTTAATGGAATCTTTTAGAATTCGGAAATGGCGACTGTAATGTTATTTACTTGGATGAAACCTGGTTCGACACTTATGATACCCCGGAAAAGGGTTGGTTAGTTTGTTGACTCAACTGATAAGTGTAAAACAAACGCGCCATCAAAAATAGCGAAAAGAATAAGTATTTTGCATGCTGGCTCTAAAGATTGTTGCATTCCAAATGGACTTTCTCTGTCTGCGAAAAATATTAAAGATCCTTCTCTGGATTACCATGAAGACAATACGGCTGATTGTTATTATTATTAAAGTTGGGCGAATTCTGTTAAACATATAGAAAAAACAGAACCATCGTATATCCATATTAAAAATAATATAGAACAAATAATAATTAGAACAGGCGATGATAGCGATAGTGATACTGATATATTATGTGAATAATTTTAAGTAATTTAAGTAGGTAATAAAAATAATTTGTAATATTATTTTAAACATAAATACATAAATAAATATTGTTTAGTATCTTTCCTAAAATAACCGGCCGCTCTGCAGGTAAACCCTGTACGATTTCCTCGTCGCATCACGGTTGGCGACATTGACCTTGACAGCAGAGACCGTTGGGCTCTGGCCGTGTTATTGTCTGAAAAAGGGATGGGTTTTTAACAGGTAGCAGGTTAGAAACCCATAAAAGAAAACGCATTGCCGACTTGATCGACGGTCGTCTATTTACTGAATCTTTTGTGCATTCGGTGAGTGCAGGTATTACCGGCATCTTCATCGCAAGTGTGTTAGAAAAATATCAGTTTGCAACGATCAATTTTACGATTCGTAGGATGAACATAGAAATAATCGGCGCCGTCAAAGGCGAGGCCCGAGAGTTGGTGGTGAAGGAAGAAGCAGTGGAGATCACATCCGGAGATGTTGCAGTGAATTCTAGCGACGACGACATTACTTTTTTAAGCGAAGATGATTGCAGTGTTGTACGGCAAATAACGACCAAGATTGAAATAACCGATGACAAGCCAGTTTTGAGTGAGATTAAGGATGAAAACAAAGAAAATGCGCAACCTGAAACAGAAATGCTCGTCCTGAACAACCAGGTTATACCTCAAAGAATGTGAGTGACTAATGACATATTTCTTATAATTTTAATTATAATTAGCATCATGGTAGTGGCGAGAGGCGGGGAAAAAAGGTGCATTGTTGAGAGTTTTGTTTCAAGTTCCGTCTCTAGCGCTAGAGGTCGCAACTGGTATGGTAGCATAAAAACTGTTTTCTGTACAGATTAAAGCAAAGTAGTTTGACAAATGACGGGTAAATTCTGATATTTGATTAAAAAAAAACAACGTTGGAGTGTTTTAATAAGAAAATCCTGATCTGAATTAGGTACTGCAAAATAGACTTACATGGACTCGATTTTGGAGAAACGTTTAATGGCTAAAACCGCATGGCGATATCTTAACCACTCACCGGGCATTTTGCATTCAATCTTCGGCACTTTTCAAAATTGCTCATAACTTTTTTATTTACGAAAATTTTGGATTCGAGTAAAAACATTATTAGGGCATTTTTATAAGGCAGGTTCAAGTTCAAGTTCAATGATGCGTTTCACAGATAACTGTTGGGCACGACTACCAGGATCATTCGCCCATTGCCGACTTCCGTCGAGGATTCTCGGATCTTCTCCAGGAAGGAGACAGAATATTGAAGTTCTAAATGTCGAGGATTTTCGTATCTTCTCTGGCGAAGAAGACTGATTTTTGAAGTTCCAAATGTCGAGGATTGTCAGATCTTCTCCAGCGAAGGAGACTAAACTTTAAAGTTCCAAATGTCGAGGATTTTCGGATCTTCTCCAGCGAAGGAGACTAATCTCAGAAGTTCTAAATGTCGATTTTTCGGATTTTCCCCCCAAGTCTGCGCTTTAAAATATCAATCTTTGCTTTAATATCTAGTAAAATGTAGCTGTTGGAAGCTTCAACCGCACTGCATCCGAAGCTCTGCAGGGCACTTTTGGAATCGGAGACAACTACTGCCTGTTTAATATTATAATCTAATATAAGATCTAGGGCGTAACTAATAACTACCATTTCTGCAAAGCAAATACAAAACGCGCTATTCAACCCATGCCCGACCCTAACATTGAGAAACGGAATAAATACTCCAAAGCCAACTCTATCATCTGGTCCCTTAGAGGCATCGGTAATTATAAATGTCTCTTCCCATGGGAGTAAAAAAGATTCATTAATCATGACTATATCCGGACCAAAGTCACGAATAAGTCTAATAATACTATCACAATTACTTCTAATACCGCAAGTGTTCCAATGAATAATTGAGAGATTACTAATTTTAACAGAAAGATTTGACTGTCGATCTGGGAACATTCATATATTAAAACCTGCATCCTCCGGGAGGAGGCAGGGAGTCAAAAAGACTCTCAATTTCATGGTAAGCACTTTTACTGGGTATATTGGACAAGACTTTTTTCTTTAAATTTTCAAACCGATACCAAAATTCACCAGAGGAGGAAACCCCTGGAGAAGCAGTGTCCATCTCGGACTCTGACGATAAATCATTTAAATATGAGGGAGAAGATTGACTTTTGCTAGTGTGATTCAACTTCTGCCTAGTCAACGGCGGCACGAGACAATCCCTGTGGGCGTCCCTATCATACCCTGATTCTATTTGGGGGGACTTACGCTTTTTTGCTATGACAGAATAGGTTTTAGAAGCAGATCTAGGGGAAGGCTGAGAGACGGGGGCAACCGTGTTATGAATAGGAGGGAAATTTTCATTAGAGCGATTAAACTCACTTGATTTGGGGCCTCTTGGAAAGAGTTTGGCCGCTTCAAAAAAGGATAAGTTGTACCATGCCATAGCCTCATTGATTTTCTTCTGTCTGTCCATTTCCGGACATGATCTATCAGTGGCCTGATGAGAGCCTTTACAATGGATGCAAGTTGGCTTTGGAGATATTTCGCAATTACCCAGGCTGCATTTACCTTCATGATTTAAGTGGTCTGTCGGGCATGGTTTCTTCTTATAAAACTGTTCTTTCAGTTCACAATGAAATACTGGATGATCTCCAGCGCAGAAACTACATCTACCCTTGCTTTTACATTGGTTTTTCCAATGACCAAACCTGCAACAATTCATACATAAGACAACAGGACTAACATATTTTTCGATTGAACACTCATTTTTATAGATACTGATTGATTCTGGGAGAGTTTTACCATCAAATGTTATTATATAATCATTAGATGGAACTGTCTTGAAACCAAAAGTGCCAGGCAGAACACCTGGGCATTTGACCCTTTTAGTTAGTCTGCGAACATTAACAATCTTAACGCGCTTTAGCGATCTTCCGATGTTAACCTTGGCTTCTGCCTCAGAGTAAAAATCATCCTCATCAATTAAGTCACCAATGTCCCTCACCAACCCTCGGCAAGTGACTAGTCTTTGAGGTATATACTTATTATACCCACCAGCTGTCGAATATGTTTCATTAGATAAAAATTTATTTGCAGACTCAGAGGTGTTAAACTCCAAACCGATTTTATTGGCTCCTTTTCTAGAAATTTTCAATATACCTTGAACTTTCTGCGCTTGAAGTAACTTCCCAAAGTTCATAGGATGAAGAGTCCCCACCTTACTTGTAATCCCCTCCAGAATCACCATAAAAGGCCCCTGGTCGGTGATTTCATATTTTGTTTTCCGATTTACTGTCCTTCTTATGTTTGCGGAGATTTTGGCAACTTCCCGCAGGATTTCAGCGTCTTGCTCGAACTGATTCTTGATAATCTGGATCTCTGCCGATAACTTTGACAACTCTTCACCTGAGGGCACATCAAAATACTGGGGCCTGGAAATATCTTCAGCAGTTTTTTTGCAATCCGGTGGCAAAATGTTACAAATAATGGCGTTCAACGGACGATTTTGAGAATCATTGGATAAACTGTCATTTTCTTGTGCTGCACTAACCGTCGGGGGGCCCTCGCCCCCCGAAGAGTCCCCCATGGTTGAGGTTAGAGGGCCAAGAGGAGGAAACTACCAGCCACAAAAACTGATATATAACTGGATGCGTTAAATGGACTCACCAAATAACAGAAAACAATAAAAATTAGGGCCGATGCCTAAAGATTTGCACAACAATACTCAGGTAGTGTTCACTCCTTCGCTGTTGTACCGAAAAAAAACTATAAGGCAGGTATTTTGCAGTTCTCTCTTTTCTCATAAATGAATACAAGTTACTTATTTTATACGGCCATCATAGTTACTATGGTCTTAAAATAAATGCCCGTGTCGTGCCGTTTTCAGGCATGTAAATTTGCTGGTATCTGTCATGAAAAAGGCGAAAATATAGGGTATTTTTTCTGTATGTGTTAGTAGGCCGTCCATACCGTAGGCGATTTTTGGGTCCATTTTCAAAAGAAAACTTCTTATGAACATATGTCCCAACTTTATCTGCCAAAACATCCGATTGCTCCCAAACTCGTGCGGTAACATCCCGGAAATGTCCGAAGTGACTTGGATTCGTGTGAAACGAAACTGACGTGGTAATGTGACGCTTCCCGCACGCTAGATCGGTAGATAATTAGGTATTTTACAGACGGGAGTAGAAAAAAATAGCAAATTGTCAACTCGATACTTCTGATCCACCCCACTGTGCGTCGTAGCATTTTTATAATGGAAAAACATTTTGTTGCTGTTATTTCAAAATATACAACATAGTTGCGTCTGCTAAATACGACAAGATTTTAAAAATCGAGTGTTTCTCTGGGAAAAAAATACTTCACGATTTTTACAACTTAAATATTAGTTTTTGACCACCCTGTATTTATTTATACTTAAAGTATCAGGCCACTCAGCAAAATTTAATTGCCTTTATGGATATTTTACAGTGTACAAGAATATGAAGTGACTTTAACCGAGAATGGAGTATTCAAATGTTTCCATTGCAAATACACACACAAATCCCGGAAACAAGTGAACACTCACGTAAAGTAAGTATGAAAACAAAATCCTGATTCGATGATTATAATAGGTCAGTGTGCTAGATCTCCTAACTTTTGAGCTACAGGATACATATTTTTTTTTATCTAATTTTATTTATTTAAAAAGATTTTCTAATTTCTCAACCAGTGACGTATGTGCAGTACGCGGTCTAAATAGGTTTGCAAAATATTATCCCATTTTCCTAGTGGGCATCCTGCTTAAAAAAAATAAAAAATCTACATCCTGTTGGTGCTTAGTGGTTGATGCCAACAAAATTCATTAATATATCCAGAAGGTTGTCTTTTGTTAACTATGACTGAAAAAAATGTTTTTTGGAAACGCCAAGTGGCTCAAAAGTTAACATGCGTTTATTTCAGTTTTTCCTCTTATTTGCCATAGAGCCATGGCCGATAGGTTAAATAAAAATTAGGAGCAAATATTAACGACGAAAAAGATGGCGTGATTTATTTATAGGGTTATCTGTTGTTTTATTGTGGATTAGTTATGTCACAACTCGTATACAAGGTATTTCACAAAATATGCGCCAACGCTGTGCTGGAGATTCGATATCCAAAAATGAAAAAAAAAACACTTTTAATTTTCAAGATACGCTGTGCTAGACGTTTTTAAAATAAAAACGGCTTTTTCATGATAGGTTCTGAATTCCAGTGCCCTTGCGGAAGGTATTCTAACGAATACTCGAATAGTATCTTTAGAGAGATGACAGGTGTTTGTTTATATTTTGTACCATATTCATGGATACGTTAAGGAAATATTATTTTATTTTATACTTTTTCAAAAGTAATTAATACTAATAAAAAATCACATCCGTATCATATAAATTTGCAAATAAATAAATATTAACGGAATAAATGTCTATGCAGACATTATTTATTTTTTAGTAAGTTCACTTAAAATTTAAATATAAATATTGCATAAACGGCTAATGCTAATATGAGGAAAGTTCCTGGGTGTTGTAGGATATGCCATTTTGACATATTTGCAATTATTTTTTTTCTATTCTATTATTACCAAAAGAGATAAGATAAAAAATGCTACAGTTTTTGTATGTAAAGTTGTTCTGTAACTCTTCAACATTTGGCTGTTGATTTTTTTTTGCAACTTGAATAAGCTTCCTGTACTCTTGAGTTATTTTCGTAGTGATGTCTATTTATTTACACCCTAAAATTAGTTATACAAAATGAACACCAAAGAAAATACATTAATATTAAACACCCGGTGTTTTGGAGAGTAAGCATCTTGGGACCTTCATTTATATTTCCAGCTGATCGTTGATTTTTTAAACGCCCTGTTCATTGTGAACTTTTATATACAGATTCCGTTATTGGTTAGTTTGTTTTTATCTAGACAGCAAATGAAAGCATTAAAAAAAAATTAAGGAAAGGAAAAACCAATCAAAACTTACCAAAATTGTCAAGTGAAAATATTCCCGCAAATCTCGGAACAAATGCACATCATGTGATTGATTTTAGGAAAATACACAGACCTAAGAAAAAATGTCCCCATTGCCCCTACAGGTCCAATTCACACATGAAAAAACATATCTTGAATGAGCATGGCGGCCAATGTACGAAGTGTGATTTTAGAACCTCGAACAGATCCGAAAGAAGAAATCACTTGTTGGAAAAACACGCGTTTATTTGTGACAAATGTCCTGACAAGTAAGTGGGTTGCACTGAAAAATTGCAAAACTAGGAGATGATAGTTTGTTTCCATTGTCGCTTTCGCGCTGACATGTTTTGCGAAAAACACTGACGACATATCAAAGAATCTCTAATTACAAATTCTGGTTTAGAATCCGGGTATTTAAAAAAAAAAGAAACTAAAACGAAAATAAAAAAAACAACTTTGTATTTTTTTTGTAACCCCGGTACGTTTCGAGATATATAGTCTGTTCATAGATATAAGAAAGTGACTAACAGGCACGAATGGGCCGTACGGATGTGTATTTTGCTTAGAATTTAATTATTTTGAGTTTTGTTAGGAAAGATACTAAACAATATTTATTTATTTAACCCTCTTCCGGGGTATCATAAGTGTCGAACCAGGATTCATCCAAGTAAATAATTGGCCTTTGTTGCTCCCCGTAAATCCAAATTTTTTTCTAGATATTCCAGTCGCCATTTCCGAATTCTAAAAGATTCCATTCAAACTTGCCTTTTGTCAATTTATTGTCAATAGAATAGTGTTTTCTACATTTGGGCGGGAGCATCTCCTGAGATACACGAAATAAGAATGATTACTAAAAGACTTAAACTAAGTAGTATACCAAACCAAAGAATATTAAACACGGATAGGTATAAAACTATTTTTTATTACGGACCACAATTTTACCTGAATTTAAATTCCGAAACTTTAGGTAATAATCATGTTGGATCACCCTTGAATAATCCGTTCAAAAGCAATTGGTCACTTTCTTATATCTATGAACAGACCATACCTATCCCCTTTTAAACGGGCCGCCCTGTGCATTGTTGCCACTATGTAATTGGGCTTGTTTGTTCAGGGGTCTGACCAAATAAATAAATAATTTTCTAATCATGTCAATTGAAAAAGTAATAAGTCGCAATCAATTTTTTTTTTCGTTTAATTCGCAGTTGTTTGAAGTGTCAACGATTGAATAGGCTCGAGTGCAGATTTTTGCATAATTACGAGTTGGTGGGTCACATGGAAAGGTGTCACGAACCGCGGGACCAAATCCAATGGCTGCAATGCCCGCAATGTCCGGCAAAACGTAGACACCAGATCGACCTTCAGGAGCACATCAAGCGTATTCATCATCCCGATATTTTCAAGTGCCACATTTGTGACGTAAGGTAACTACACCCAATTAATTTTGACACGGCTCCGAAATTATGTTCGAGCGAGGACGAGGTGACTTTTTAAAAACTTTATTTTCAAAATACAATCGAAAATTAAGAGTTTCTGCAGCAGCAGTTACAACAAGAATCCTTCATATTACTTAAAACTAAGACTTTATAGGTTCGTATCCGAAACGTTGACAATGTGAATCTCACGGTCTCTTCACAGTACCATCGTGAAAAATGCTGACGTCGTAGATCTCACGGTGTCCTATCCTTATTACGTAGAAATTATTGTACATAACTCCGACGAATTTTAATAATGCTTAAAGCCTTACTTGACAGTCTACTTGTAGCTTGTTATTGAACTGGGCCTTTGTTGGGGTTTTAAAAACACATTCAACTCTCTGTTAATAAAAAAAAAGGGTCAACATGTATTGAAGAAGTTCTTTCTGGGCACACCTTCCGGGTCAGACTGTTCGCAAGACTGAGAGAAACTTAAGACTGGTGTGCCGCAGGGTTTAGTTTTTTAGCCCCCGTTCTTTTCGGTGTATTTATGCGCAATCCACAGTGTGCTGAACTTAAGTAGGATCTGACCACCATGAAGGAAAATGGCGCCGAATGACAATCGTTTTTAATATGATGATCTAGCTGATCCAAAAGTTTTGCATTTAACACACCCAGCAAAGATATACGACAGCGTGCCGTTCTAAAAAAGTTCTAAAAGCAGGGCGAAAATGAATTGCGCGGGATGAGTTCATTGTGTTCAAAAGTTTTCAAAAGTTACGAGAAAACGGTAACTACAAAAGTTATCAAGATTATTTAAATGCACAGAGTGGCCCAAAAAAATGTTTTGAATTAGTTTTAAAATTTTACTTTAATAATTTGAAACCTAATAGTTTTACCAATATTTTATTTTTTTTTTTACAATTTTCACACAGTTTTGGTGTGGTTCCATGTGGAAGGGATGATATTTGTTAGCTACTTGACGGCTACTGACCTGGGGATTATATTCATCTTCTTCTTCATTAGTAGCATTCCGGTTTACCACTTTAATTTTTTCATATTCAATACCACCACTAGCACCAAACTGTTTCATTAAACACTGAATAGATTGTCGAGTTAGTATACGTCTATTAGTATTTTGTCCGCCTCACCCAGTATATTATAAATCATATTAATTCAGCCTTAGGAAAATTTATACTTTAATATATACTTACACCACAACAAAGTTTATGAACTTTTATAGCAATAGTGTTAAACAGAAAAGTATTAAAAATAGGTATAAGACATAGTTGTAGGTTTTTGTAATATTTTTCAGAAAAAATGATAATATACAGTGTGTCCAAGATAAGGATGCACAGCATGGGGATCTCGGAAACTATAAGAGATACAGTGTCGGTTAAATTAGACAAAAGTTGCGCATTTTGATACCGAACAAGATCCCGTTTTACAAATTTGAAAATTCCAAGCCGTTCCGGAAATATCCGAGAAAAACCGAAATATTGCGATTTCGTTTTTATTATTTTTTAAAGCTATTTGAGAAGATATGAAAAAACGGAAAACACTTTTCCATTGGCACTTTTTAATCTCTCCAAATTGACGTTAACAAATTTTCATTACAGCGTTTCGATTCTATGGAACCACCATCAACTTTGATTTTTCTTATGGGACGGAAAAAAAGTACACACAGTATTAGGTTGTGCTTTTCATTGCGAATTCAACGATGTACGATACAATACGGTTACTTATGTTTTTATCCAGAAAAATGGCTTTTTAATACATTTCTAGTATTTTATTGTAGTAGGCCATGAGATCCGAACGATGAAAGGCAAAAGAAAATGGTTGACAAGTTCGAGTTAATGTGTTTATTTATTTACTAACTCTAACTGTTCATTTAACATAACAACTAAATCCAACAAGTTAATAAAAAACAAATTCTATAACAAATGTTCGAATAAATGACCTCCATTTTCTAGGCATAAGTACGCCCGTCTCACGGTAGACTCCAAAACACGACTTAACATTTCAGGAGTAATTTTATTAAACGCTGCTCGTACTGATTGACGTAATTGTTCCTCGTTGTCAAAACATTCTTTGAATACCTCATTTTTTATGTAGCCCCATAAGAAAAAATCCAAGGGAGTTAAGTCCGGGGACCTTGGAGGCCAAGGTGTTTCACTGTAAGTCCCAATGTATTTTCCATCAAACCGTTCAGTTAAATATTGGCGAACTTCTCTCGAGTTATGGGCTGGGGCACCATCTTGTTGGAACCAGCAGCCTTGCACAGCGCCTAGCGGTAAATCATCTAAGGCATCTTCTAAATCGTGCCTCAAGATGTCAAGGTACCGCTCGGAAGTTAAGGAATTATTATAGAAAATAGGGCCTATAATCTTGCTACCAAAAATCCCACACCAAATATTAAACCCAAAGCGAACTTGATGTCTGGATAGTCTATTAACACGTGGATTTTGTTGCGACCAATAGTGTGTATTGCGCCTGTTATAAATACCGTTATTGGTCACCATACTTTCATCAGACCAAATCACTTTATATGGAAAATTAAAACTCTCATCACACATCCTGGTATACCACTCACAAAAATGTCTACGTCGTTCGTCGTCACCCGGTTTTAATCTTTGACATATTCTGAATTTGTAAGGCTTAAATTCATTTTTCCTTAAAATAAACTGAGCTGTAGATTTAGCTACCCCATTCTGGTCTTCAATTTCTCTGGTAGAAGTTTGTGGATTTTCGATAACAGATTGTAGAACAATGTATTGGTTTTCTTCATTGGAAGGTTTTTGTCGGGATAATGCAGGCTTCTTAAATGATCCATATTCTTTCAGATTAAATAACAAACGCCGAAAAATACTCTTGTCAGGTTGTCTCCGCTCTGGGTATTTGTTAGAATACATACGCTCGGCTTCCACACAATTTCTTTGGCATCAGATGTAGCAAGACAGCATATCACATTTTTCTTCGTTTGTAAAATTACCTCCCTCCATTGTAGAACAAAATAAATTAGAAAAAGACAACAACAATAAAAATACAAAAACAATAACTAAAGGAATAAACTTATGATCGACTGATAACAAAGACAAATAACATTAATGTGTCATTGAAATTGACTGGATGTCATTTTGTCATGGCCTACTCCATTTAAATGCTGAAATGTATTAAAAATCCATTTTTCTGGATAAAAACATAAGTAACCGTATTGTATCGTACATCGTTGAATTCGCAATGAAAAGCACAACCTAATACTGTGTGTACTTTTTTTCCGTCCCATAAGAAAAATCAAAGTTGATGGTGGTTCCATGGAATCGAAACGCTGTAATGAAAATTTGTTAACGTCAATTTGGAGAGATTAAAAAGTGCCAATGGAAAAGTGTTTTCCGTTTTTTCATATCTTTTCAAATAGTTTTAAAAAATAATAAAAACGAAATCGCAATATTTCGGTTTTTCTCGGATATTTCCGGAACGGCTTGGAATTTTCAAATTTGTAAAACGGGATCTTGTTCGGTATCAAAATGCGCAACTTTTGTCTAATTTAACCGACACTGTATCTCTTATAGTTTCCGAGATCCCCATGCTGTGCATCCTTATCTTGGACACACTGTATATGGCGTGCCGTTTCAGAAAATAAAGATTTTTCAATTTAAATTGATCCAAATATATTTTGAACACCCTGTAGCGTCTCATTCAAATTCCGTCACGTCGTCTTCGAATAACGCCAATATCAAATATGAGTGATCGATTTTTAAAAATAATGGCGCTAAATTAGAATATTGGAAAAACCATTTAAACTAATTTTAAATTGTGCATCCTAAGTATACGTACAATTTTAGTATTTATCATTTTCTCATAGCTTTTGAAACCAATGAGATAACGAACGACCTGTACAACGACTGTATACCAACATGACAGGAAATCGCCTATCAAAAGCAAGAATATTATGTATGACTTCTATACGTTTTAAGATAGAAGACGCGCTTTTGCTGCAACATGAAAGTGCGACGTTCGTGTTTCTTTATGTTTTTAGTGTATCTTACTTGGTTCAATGAAGTATCAAGACGTTTTTTATCATTCTTTACTACAATACCTTGACGGCTCATTTACGTGTATTCTCTGCCTATGTACTATATAAAATGTTAACAATATACCAAGGTCAAACATAAATAAAGGAGGAATGCGCCGTATTTCTGTTACTCATATTTTATGTACAATTTACAGAAATTCCAATCAAAATACAAAATATTCCGGATTATAGAAAAACCAACAAAGGGAAGTTCATAACCAGAATAGAACAAGCTACAATTTTTTGTTGTCTGTCCGTTCTCGTCTTTTGGTTTTTCCTGAATAACTTTCGAACCGTTGGAGTTACAAAATTGAAATTTGCCTCCTTTTTAACCCTCCACGAGGCACATAAGCTTATAAGAAATGGCCCTGATCCGACGCCGGTATCCATCTTTTTTTCGCGATTTTCGACTGTTTTTTGGACGTTGCTATAAATAACGATAAGTGTTCGAAATTTGAAGCAATCGACTTCATATTTCGCAAATCTATGCAGCTTTGCCCCGTGACGGAACCTATTGAAAATACGGGGGCTGGGGGGTCGGGAAGTATTAAAAAAAAAAACAAAAATCGCGTGTGCGAGGGACTACAAAAAAGACCATTTTTCAAAAACCGTTTACAAGACCGAAGAAATTCTTGAAGCAAAAGACGCAGAGGAAACGATTTCATAAACTCTTATTCTTGACAATTTTTCAAAAATATACAAATTCAATAAAACTGAAAAATGGGTCTCCTTATTATTGAAAATTGGCAATAATTTCAAATCTGCGTTTTAGATGTCGGTTTCTTTTACATGACGATATAGCCCATATAGACAGTTTAAACTTTTGTATCTACGGTTTTTAAGTATTGTACAGGGTGTTCGCGATATTCCGTGCAATATTAAAAAATATAATAAGTACTCCAAATTTGCAGCTACGGACTTCAGACTTGGGAGAGAAGTAGAAGTCTGGACCCGCATTTTTTAAACTCTTTAAATTGAGAGCAATAAAATAACGCGAAGTACTTTTTTTTTTTTTAATTTTTTTGTGGTTATTTTGGGATCCACAAAAACAGCTTTTCCACCAAAGCCATTCATCCGATCGGAAAAATTTTACATCCGTAATACGTGGGACACCCGGGGCTATAACTTTTGCCTCACGCATTTTTTCGATTATATACAAGGTGTCGTACAAACAGTAGCTAATCCGTTCAAACATTGTTAAGAGCCCGATCAGGGGCGACAATTTTTGTATTTACGGTTTTCGTCTATCAGATACGCTGCTCGAGATATTTGAAAAAATATAATTTTAAATTGCAATTACCAGTAAAATTTTTAATATTTACCGAAGTGTAACTTTCAAGTTCGACGAGATATGAAGGACACTTTAGACGGGGTGTATTCACAATAAAATAACATCGATTTTGCGAAAGTTCCATAGTGGTCAGCAGGAGCTCGATAGAAAAACAATGCATCCCTCTAGGACAAGAATAAGCTAAGCGCCTTCTTTTTAAAATAAAAAGGTGATTGGTTCTATTTGCGACGAACTTGCCCCGCCCAGCAATGATTTTTTCGAAAGCAATCTTGTTTCTTCTTCTACTGGATTTTTTCTAAAATATAATGTTTATCTCCTAATTTAAATTCGCGATTATCCTGTAGGTATAGAAGAACACATTAACTTAGGTTTATTCCAATCGTCAGTTGCCCGAATTGGAAAGATTTGCTTCAAAAAATTAATAAAAGTTTGTCCGAGCCGTTTCAAATTTGTTGACTTCTTTCGGTAGTCGGTAGATATTGGTTTTTGTAGGTTCAAATTGGCACAAACTTTGGAGAAGCACGTTAAAACGGTGCACAACGGAGAGGAACCGCCACTCAAATGCGACAAGTGCGATTTTAAATGTTTTCGGCGGATCGTTTTGCGTTTTCATCACGTCCGTTGCAAACAGGACGAAAATACTGAGACGTTTCAGTGTTACCACTGCAACTATACAACATGCTACAAAGCTCATTTGTTGACGCATATCAACCACAATCACAGGTAATTAAAGGTTTTTAGGTTTCCGTAAAATCCGATTTAGTAGCAAAAAAACGGATGTTCCGAAAAATTTGAAAAAAAAATTGTGGTGCTTCAATATATCCGAAAATAAATGTCGATAAGTGCAAAAGGACTTAATGGGTCTTAATAAACTTAAGTCGTTAAAAAGGGCTTTTCCTAGGTTATGAGCAAGATGATTTCCTATCGGACGGTTTGGATAAGTCTGTTATCAAAAATTTGTCAATTGGTCAATACTACGCAGAGTTATCGCAACAGTTGACGTACGAGGTACAAATTAAACGCCCTCATTTGGCGAAGAAAAAAATTTGTTTCGTCACTATAACTCACCAGCGCATCCGTCGCGCGTCCAGAATTCACGAACTGAAATATGAATTAATATCACAACCTCCCTACTCCCCAGACTTAGGCCTCAGCGGCTACTACCTGCTTCCTAACCTCAAAAAATGGCATGGCGGTAAAATATTTAAGAGCAACGAAGCTAGAAATCAGTATTTTGAATAGCTTGAGGAATCTACTACAATTGGTATAGACCAAATTAGAACACCGTCATAAGAAATGCATCAGTGTTGATGGAGATTACGTTGAGAAATAAAGCAATTTTTTTTTAAAACATCGTTTTTCTTGGGCAAGTTTCCGGCTTTTTTCGTCTGTAAAGGAACGTTTTTTAATACAATAGGCAAATGGTTTCTTAAAAAGGTCAAATAAATCTTGCCTTTAACTTTATGATAACAATTGGAAGACATATATTTTTTAAGCTACCCTATAAAAATTGTTATTATGTACCACGCACTAAGCAACCACTTGCGAGAGAGATGCAATCTTGCCAATAAAGAGCGTTTTATTGGTCAACTGATGAAGACTTTCGAATTTGCAGAAATTTCCTCACTAGCTACTACCGCTATAGAATAGTTCTCACGAATTCATAAGTTTTAATATAATATTTCATTTGCCCATGCATTTAGTGGCTGCGACACCTCTTCTGCCTTTTTTTGAAAAACGAACCAAGACAAAGCATTACTCAAGGGTTATTAACGGCTAATTAAATTGTAGTTCTTTTTCGCTTTGCCCTTCCTTCCCCTAATTGGGTTGTATCACCGCCATTTTCCGAAAGTGTCTTTAAGATCTTGTTATAAATTGCTTGTCGGCTCTGCACTCTTCCCGCCCTTAATGAAACATTCCACTTGTTGAAACTGTCACAATCACATTTCATATTCACATTCAATAAGATGACTACATAACACAGGACAAAAATAACATTTACTATGGCGCCACCTCTTATCAACTACACTTACGTATAAAGTTCGCTCGGTATTGTGTAGATGGCGCAACTTAAACACCGCATGAAATGAACTTCTGTCGCATCGTAAAAATGCGGATCGTGCTTTAAAAGCGCCAAAGTGTCGTTTATGAAATATTAAAGATTAGAATATGATAAGGACATCTGCAAACGACTATTTTACGCACACTTTTTCAGTTCAAAACCAGACCAGATGAACATCTGCGAATTCTGTTCATTTCAAACGAAAAGTAAGCAATGTCTCAAACTTCATGTAATTAGTAAGCATAACGAGAATAATAATGAGGAGGTAATGCGGTACAAGTGCGAGCACTGCGACTACAAGACACATAGGACCTACAATCTTCAAGTAAGTTTATAACACTATTAACGCCGGCTCTGTAAAAAAAAGCATTAGAATAATTCTTCTATAACTATGTATCAAATTAACAAATTAAAATAAGAGAAATTTTAAGATTGACATTTTGAAAATTTTGCATTTTCTAGTGGTTTCAGTGTAAAATTCGATTTGTTGCATGGCAAATTTCATTTTTCTATAAATTTTATGTTTATCCTATATTTTGGCAAACTGCATTGTTTCCCAAATTTCAATCTGAGAGTAGAGAGAGAGAATGAAAAATTTCCTATATAATTTTAACTATTTTCGACCTTAAGCCTGATTGGCCACTTCCGTTGATGGAGAAAATTAAGCTAATTATACCCTGAGTTATCCTGGGAATACAACATTATTTTCTTTACTCTCAGATTAGTAGTGCTAGTCCTAGCCCATTGTCTTTATTATTTATCTCCCAATTAGTAAGAAAGTAAATCTATCTGACTAGTGTGCTTTTTGTAGATTCACTATCTCAATCATAAGAAGCCGGAGGAATTGCAATACTTCTACTGTTACCATTGTCCTTTCAAGGCGAAGAGAAAAGACAACTTGAAATCTCACATATTCAAGATGCACATGCCAAAGGACGAGTTGAAATGTTTCATTTGCGATTTTAAGACGACGTCCAGCTATTCGCTAGTGAAGCACGTAGATAAACATAAGCGCGATGCAGATGACACGGCACGAAAGGGCACTAAAAGGAAGCGCAAGTAAATTACCCACTTTAAATGTTTCAATTCAGATTTTTTTGAGGCAACGGAAGCAGCAAAGCTAGACACACAGCTCTTTAATAAAGATTTTATCTATATTCGATTGGAGTCTTATTTATTTCCCATTCTCTGCGCGTGTTTGCTAATTTTTCAGTTTTCATGTAAGCCAAAAGAAGGTACAACTTGCTGACGTTTCTTTGAAAAAAAAAAGTGTTAAAAACGCACACCATTTTTGTATACACCACAATGTTGCTCTATTCGGGAGAGCTTTGCTACCTCAGGATCTCGGACGTCCCTAAAAATTCGACTTAAACTGGAAAAGAAAAGCTAATTGAAAAAATTAAGGCCCGTTTTCTTAATGTGACAAGTGACATCATTAGAGTGATTGACGAAGGCGAGTCCACCTTCTTGAATATCTGGGCTTTTTAATAAAAAATCTACTAACCAGGGAAATAGCAAAAGGTGGTCTATCTTAGACATAAGAACCGGAGTTTCACGCTCCTGTTTATCATTTACACCACAAAATTCATAGATATTGTCGAGTACTGTAAAATGCAGTCATCTACTGACGACAAGCAGCTCTGCCATGTTTTTGACCGTTTTCGCTGACTGATTAAATGGCAAAACATCAACAATGACCTAACGGTCGTAAAAAAAGTATAGTATGCAACACGTTCGGTAAACATTTTAAGTCACTCGTTTATTAAACACTCGCTCCGCTCGTGTCAAATAAACTCGTGAGTCAAACGCCGTGTACCGCACGTGTTGTATAATATACTAATTTTCTAGTCTCGTCTGCAAAATGTCTAATTACACACCGATCTAGCGTGCGAGAAGCGTCACTATACCACGTCAGTTTCGCTTCCTACGGATCCGAGTCACTTCGGACATTTCCGGATTTTTTCGAAGATATTTGAATTGTGACGTTTGTCAATTCTGACGGTCATGTCAGTGAATGTAATCGTGTTGTTTTGCGAAAATGTACCCAAAAACTAACTGTCGTAGAAGTCAAATGCCGTTTACCGCACTTGTTGCATAATATACTATTGACGAATTGACAGAATCTCTAAAGATCATGGTTTGTTCTTAAACCCGAGAACATCTGCGGTACGGTCTTGCTTCTGAAGTATTCATAAAAATAGGCAATATTATTTTGCCATTGGAGAACGAAGTAAAGCGAAGACATAATTGGAGTGGATTGCATGGCCTAAGCTAAGGCATTTTCTAACTGAAAATCTCAAAAAAAACATTATGCGATGCTCTTGTCGCTTGGCAACCAAACTCGTATCTTGGCAACGGTGCGTCGTACGGCATCGCCATTGGCACGGATGGAATCGGTGCCTACAAAACACGTTTGTCTGTTCTTTTCTCTGTTTTCTGTTTCTCCAGTTCTCTGTAGACGCGACTTAAATGGCCACAACTTTCGAAGCAGCTTATGGGACACATAAGTCAGTAGAAAATGGATGCGATCGGACCTCGGCAGCCATCTTGTTTTTTTTCTGCTATTTCTTACACACGATAAGTGTCCCAAATTTGAATCTATCGACTTGAAATTTAGCATACGTATGGAGCTTAGTTTCGTGACGGAACCTGTTGAAATCGGGAGTGCATATTTTTAAAAAAATGGGTCTTAAGATGTCAAAAATTTTCACCTGTGGTACAGAGTGGTACAAGATATAGAATAAATTATTTTGACTTCTAGACAAAAAAATATTTTGTCGAAAACTACCAACTTGATCGACAGGATTATATAACCAGAAGACCCGTAAGATCCGGTACTATAACTTTTATTTTATTCATTTTTTCGATTGTGTACAGAGTGTTTCAGTTATTAAATATAAATCAAAATTCGTAAAAAATATGGCTATTTCAAATGAAAAAATGTTTTCTCGAAAACCATTTCCTCTGTTGGAAAAATTCGTTGGAGGTTTAGGGCTATAACCCCTAGTTTTGGCAATTTTTCAATTATGTATAAGGTGTGGGCAAAACATGTATAACATCCTGAAAATTGCCTTTTTTTTGGTAAAATATTAGCCTTAAATAAAAAACTGTAAAAGAAGGGATAGTTTGGTTTAGATAGTATCGTAGACTGTGTCGGGAGCTACAATAGTCGTGTGTACAGATTTTGTTTATCATACAGGGTGCGCGAGATGATGTGAGAAAATATCATGTATATCAATAATGTAAGATGTGAAATTTTAGTTTGAGCCATATGGGCGTTTTGTTATATGGAAAATGGTCAATAAATTTTGTTAATATAACGTATAACTATTTAGTATGGGCTTCGTTGGCAAAAAAAATAAATGAGAATGAAGATGAATCAAAAATTGTTCCTCGTATTTCGTTAAACTACCGTTGAATTATTTAAAAAAAACATATAGGGCAATACGATCGGAAGAACTATAAACCAGGCGGACAAAACAACCAGGAAAATTATGCTCCAGGCTTGCAACAGTTTCGGGAAATCAACTTGACGCTTATAATTCTCCTGGATTTTTATGCTTTTTTGTTATAAGCGACAATGCCGCTGGCCGTGCAGATATAATTGCCGACCCGACCTATCGAAGCACGATAATTATATCAAGTGGCTGTCGCCTACTTGATAATTAACAACAAATCGGTAAATAAAATCATTCGGTGTTTTTCGTTATGGCTGGCGGTCGCTCTTCTTATCTGCTCTCGTTAGCGTGGGTCGTCTGTTGCCTGGCGGTGGTTTTCGCCCAAAATGAAGTCGGAGACGCGGTTCAGCCTACTCCGATTGTCATGTGGCACGGAATGGGTAAGCCTGTTTTCCTTTTCATTTCCAGAGGTGCCGGTTGATCTCTTGTACCTTCTGATCTAAATTAGGTGTCATCATTGGTAACTTTGTTGTGAGTAGAGACAAAGTCGGTTAAATTGGCAAACTAGTAGCAGTTTTTTCACTCATTATAGAAAAACAATTGAATGTAGGAAATGGAAATGGGGAAAATGTACTCTTTTTAAATGTACGAATGATAACCGAATTATCAGCACATTTCTTCATTAAAATATATATAAATAATATATAAAAACATAAATAAATAATATATAATAATATAATAATATATAATAATATAATAATATATAATAATATAATAATATATAATAATAATATAAATATAATAATAGCACCAATTTCCTCGGCTCCTTCTACCAGCAAAAACGGTTACGTTATTTCTGAAGATTCGAGGAAGACGCAGAAAACATTATTCAAAGAAGGCTGTGAAAGTGATGACAGCTCTGCCAGCAAGAAAACCAGTTGTCAAAAAATTATTTTTAATGAATTAATTATAAGTATTATTATTGAAATTAATTTTACTGTATCATTAATCCAAAAACGGTTTTTACACACGAAGAAAAGTGTGACATGTTGTAATGTCTGTAAATGGAAAAAGGAGTTTTATTTCTTAACCACTCATAGCCATCTTAATTCTAGGCTAATATTGCATATGACCTTTTTGTTTTCTATGGGGTGTTCCATTTAAAAAGAGTACACTTCCATAATTTTTTGCTGAACCCTACATTCAAATGTTTTTTCTGTTTCCATCGTCGTAATCGTTGGAAAAATACTACTAGTTTGCTAATTTAACCGACTTTGTGTCTCTACTCATAACAAAGTCACCAATAATGAACACTTAATTTAGGTCAGACTGAATATGTTACAATAAAATTCAAAAAATAAATATAAACATATAAATTCTATTCGCGAAAGAAGCAAAATAAACAGAGATAGAAAATTTGTGATCGAAACGTTTCTCACAGAATTGTTGCGGTTTACTTGTAGCTGTGACAATTTGTTGAAGATAAAGATAAAGACGCTTTTTACATTTCGAAGAAGGGCGACAATGCGTTTTCTACTGCCAGTAATAAAAATTATTTCAATCGAATATTTGAAAAAATACGTATATAATAAAGAAACTCAAGTCATTTACTTTTTACAAAACTTTTTGCTAAGTCGAAATTGCTGACGTTTCGCCAATCATCCTGATTTGAAAATATTTATAATGGCTGTAAAGGTCGTATTATCAGCGTGGACAGCTATGCAGGGTGTTCTCAAATTATTCCTGACAAAAAACTATTTTTGTTGAAGCCTTCAGGCAGAAACGGACAAACAAATATTTTTGACAATTCTGTGTAAAATGGATCTTGACCCCCATGCTGAAATTTCTCGCAAACTATCTATGTTCCAAATTAATCAATTCGTAATTAAATCAAGTTTTTATGTTTGTTTTGGGTAGTGTCCAATTTTTCACTAGCGCCACGATTATTAGCGGTAAAAAAATTAATTACTTTCTGGTCAGTAAATCTTTTAGCATTATTCATGGGTGTTAATGGTGTTAAGGAAAATATTCATCGGTTAAGATAACATTCTCTTGATCAATCTCAGACATTGCCATAAGCTACACTTGGATCAATCAAGATCTCAAGGTTAGGTGATGTGAAGGACTTCTGAGATACCCTGTATAACGATAACTAATTTTATTGCACGGAGCACATACATGGATTTTTTTTTGTTATTCTATATATTTATTTTTTTCGAAAATATAGATATTAGCAAATAAAAGTAAATGTTTGGTCAACTAACTATCATCTTTATCATCTGCAAAACTTATCACGCGTCCATGAAATGGAAACCTTTTTTTTTCATTTACACAATCATTTCCTCGGCTTTTTCCATTCGATAAGGTTACGCGCATCGGGTCGGAAGAAAGCAGAACCGGTACCCTTAACAAAGAACGACTATTGTTTCTTCTAATGGGATCAGCGGAATTGGGCCAGACTAGGTCTTGTGTAACACCTGCAAATTAATTTGTTTCGATCGTAAATCCAAACGCAGACAGATAGATTTTGAATTGCATTATATTGAATTACATAGTATATATAGTCGGTACGATTTGCGATGGCATAGTCGGCTATAAAACCAAGGTGCTCAGTATTTTTCCTGCCTCCACTAGTATACTAAGAATAGCAAAACCCACCCCTTTACCTTTCTTTATTAGCCCCAGGGCGAAACAACATCTGATGAGCAACAACGTACCCACTATAGTACGTGTGTACTCAGATTCTGGGTATATTAGCGACCATTTGTAAATAATCTCTTTGAAACTTCGAACCATATGCGATATAACTTCCAGTCCTAGTTTTTAGGAAAGAGGTTAAGGTCCATTTGGCTGGAATTGCAAAATTATCTATCTTAAATGAATTATGATTATGATTCTACCGAAATTGGTTAAAGTTGAGTAGCTGACATCAACATTAGTTTGTATTGGTATTAAGTAATATTGACAACAATTGTGTACAAGGATTGAAAATACCTCAATAAAAACTATTGTTATTACTATTAGTGTTATTATGATTTGGAATAGAATTTTTTAACGGAGGTACTTCAGAAATATATGTGATATAATATTTTGTAAATGGGTTCCTGAATTAGGTTACCCGGTTTTTCTTTCTTGCAGCAATTATACTTATTAATAATCACCTTCCGATTTCAATACGCGAATTAAAAGCAACGCAATTTTGACGGTAATCCTTGCAATTATTTATATTATTTAAATTAAACTGGTTTCGTAAATTAGACGTCACAGGTACTTAATGAAAACACTCGATTTTACAATAATGTTATCTTATTCAATGTAGACGATAATTATCTGTAATATCTGTACATTTTTTATTTTTTTGTGTGTGCCAGGCTACAACCTCCCCCAATATTTTTATTTTCCGACTATAGTATTGTAGACTGTACTGTTTTACGGACAATGTAATAATTTATTGGAAAAATTGAATTATATACGAGGTGTTTCAAAAAAAGGTTCGCTTTAAATTTCTAGCAATTTTGTGAGTTTAAAGAGAGTGCTTTTAACAACCAAATAAAGATTTCCATTTTGTTTTCAATACACAAATAAACGGACAAAAAAAACCAGAGAACGTAAACAAAGAATAACAATAATAAACAATTGGGGCAAATAAAAAAACGTCATAGGTCGTTTATCGAAAAGTGTTGGAACATTTTTTTTAAATGTCTTAAGAGACTATAAAAAGTATGAAAATTTCCTCATATTTTTGTCTCAGGTTTATTGGCATCTTAATAAAAAACAATTTTTGTTTTTCACTGTAAAAAAACGTATTTTTGCAAGGACCTGTTGGAAAAGTTTTTTTTTCTCAAAGACTACTCAAAATTAAGAGAATAATTTGAATGAAGTTGGTTACTGTCCCGGCCCAAGGAATACCCCGTACACATGAAATATTATAAATAAAATACATACCGAGCGTCAAATACTTTTTTCATTTAACTTTTCTTCTTCAGTGTCGTACTTAATGAGATAAGGTTCAGGAGCATCTTAAATGGACCACCCTGTACACTAGTAGTGTAGATAACATAATTTCCAGGTGACTCATGCTGCTTCCCATTCAGCTTAGGCGAGATCAAGAACAGACTAAACGATTCGCTGCCGGGAGTCTACGTAAATTCTCTTCAAATCGGCGATTCCATCATTAAAGATATGGAAAATGGCTATCTTTTGCATCCAGATAAGCAGGTCGCTTTGGCCTGCGATATCATTCGGAAAGACGAGCGTCTACAGGACGGGTACAACGCCATCGGATTTTCTCAAGGATCGCAGTTTTTGTAAGTCAAAAAAAAAAAATTACGAATGCAATTATACAATAAAATAACAGAATAGTGGAAGGAAAAGATCAGGAATAAGAATATTTGGCAACAACATTATGTTCCACGGACTATAAAGGTTATGGCTAGGATGTTGGACTGGAACGGAAAACAAAGAATAAAGTCGAATTATTCTCGCAGTATTGAAACTGACATTCTCCAGGGATTCCATTTCAAATATTCCAGCTACTAGCCTCTAATTGATAGGTTTAAGATAAATTGCAGTCATAGATGGGGAGTGATTACAAAACAACAACTATTTCTAGTAACAAATTCCAAGTTTTTCAGTCCATTTCCAGCAATTTTTTTATACGATTGTTAAATGTGAGTTGCATATAAAAAACAGCTCCACAGAGGCAGGTTTAAGTGTATTGCAAAAAAAGTTTGAATTCAAAAGTGGTTTCCAGTAAAATGATCTTTAATTTTTTTTGCATTCTTTCACTTTATTTATTTAATTATATTTTTAAAATATTTTCTTACATTTTTGAACACAGTTGTTATAGAATATCATCGGGAATTAGGTTTGGTTGTTGTTTGTCCACATTGATTTTTTACAAAATAATACTCTTTCTCAGACGATTTTCTGCAAAATGTTAGTCTCTCAATTTTTTATCAATTAATCAAAGCCTGTGGAAGTTTCTCCGAAAAATTATAGATTTTTTGATTTAAAAAAACGTAAAATTTTACAAACCTCTTGAAAAATAAAATTAATAATTTTGTATCAAATTTTCCACATTTTGAATAATGCACATATTATACGAGGTGTGATCAGAAATTCAGGCGACTTTTATGTATTAACAAAAAGTATTTATCTATTTATCAAAATGTTGTCCCTATTATACTAAACTCCCAGATATAATACACTTGTGCCAACGTTTTTTCTAATCCTCGAAGCAATTTCTGGTATAGCATTGACTTTTTCCAGCGATTTTTTTTAATGTCTTCAATCGTTCCAAAGCTCCTCCCTTTCAAGACTTCCTTGAGTTGTGGGAACAGGAAAGAGTCGCAGGGAGCCAGATCCGGTGAATATGGTGACTGAGACATGATTGTGGTTTTGCTGGTGGCCAAAATGTTGCCACGAGCAACGACGAGTGAGCATGTGCATTATTGTGATGCAAAATCCATGAATTGTTTTCCCACAATTCTGGTCGTTTTCTTCATATTGCTCCGCGCAAACGACGTATAATTTTAAGATAATACTCTTTATTGACCATACGACGCTATGGTAAGAACTCTTGATGTTCTACGCCACGATAATCAAAGAAAATAGTAAGCAAAACCTTCACATTTGATCGAACTTGACGTGCTTTTTTCCGTCTTCGTGATTCTGGGTTCTGCCATCGGGACGACTATCAATAGAGATGTCGACGTTGTCAGCCACTTCTCTAATAATGATTCGACAATTTTTCAACATCGTTTGTTTGATTTCTGCATCACTTTTATCAATTATTGACGTGGTGGGGCATCCCGAGCCACCTTACTTTTTGAATACACCTCGTACATTTACCACAGTGATTGGTAGTTCAGAGAGTTTGATGGTTTCATTGTTGTTGCCATTAGTTTCTCAGTTTAATTGAAAAATGATTGTCTTGAATATATTTTTTTTATAACTGTCAAATTTTTGAACCTTCAATCTCCATTATCCAGTCATTTTTATGGAAAACTTTGAGAAAAAAGCCCTCGACGTCTTCCATCTAAAACTAAAACGATGGAAACGCTCCGTTGGTGATATTTTGTTAGCAATTTAAACTATACACCCTAACATACGTTATATCATTGAATTTAAAACTACTAATAATCTCCCATTATTAGATATTATTGTGAATAGGAAATCAGTCCTAACAATGGGTCATTCTGTTTACAGAAAATCTGCGCACACAGACCGATATCTTAATGCATTGTCACATCACCATTCGGCCCAAAAATCAGAGATGAGATGAACTTCGTCCTTTCCTCTTTGTCTTGGTCCATGCATCAGTGGTGTGAAATTCATTTTTCTTAAACTCATTCTCAGTCGATTTTCCCTACTATCTGATCGAAATCAAGAATGAGAAATTATTTTTTTAAATACAGAGGGAGGTTTTATTTTGATATCTGCAATCTCAAGGCAACGAAAAATTTGTTGCCGAAGAGTTTTGGAAAGACGGAGAATATTGTGAAGTTTGTTTATCCATTACGTGAATATGAAAACATGGCCGTTTTATGAAATTTTGATTTATTTTAAAACGGATACTAAACAACAAATAGATGATCACAACCAGATGGGTGCAAGTGGAAGTTTACATGAGGCAGTTATTCAGTTATTAACAAATGAGAGAAACTGCTTTTCTTCTTAGCATAAACATACAATTTATCAAAAAAATAAATAAAAGAGGTCCCAACAATATAACCCATTACTTTTTACAAAACTTCTGGATTCCTCTTGCGTCGGTTTTTGCGGAGTCGAAATGGCTGACGTTTCGCCAATCATCCTGTTGGCTTCTTCAGAGCTTGATTGAAACGAGCTCGTATTTTACTCTGCACCTGTTTATATATTGTTTGAGAGGGGCGGTGACAGGTAGAGACCTGAGTAACAGTTAAAATTGTTAGGTTGTTTATTTTATTTTTTATTTTTATATTATTTATTCTTATCAATAAGAAATCAGACCTAACAATGGGTCATTCGGTTTACAGAAAATCTGTGCACACAGACCGATATCTTAATGCATTGTCACATCACCATTCGGCCCAAAAATCATCGCTTACTAACTCTCTTGTTTACAGAGCCGTAAACCTATCCCAACCGGAGTCACTGAATCCAGAATTAAAACACGTTACATCAGTTCATCACAAAATACACTCCACTACAACCTTTCAAAGACAATGAGTGCGAAAGCAACTCCACACTTACCACTATTGTCCTGACTCCATATAAAATCTCTTAACACCTTCGCCAAAGACAAAATTCCATTTGATACACCAGGAGTCTACAGCATTCAGCATTCAGAGACCGGACGAAAAATGTCAACCAGCACTTTGATACAGGAGATATCCAGAAGATTAGTAAATAGTAAGGATGTAATTACTTAGGTCCTATATAACGCCAATGTGTGGACAGCAACAGCTTTTTCCAATATCATGTTGCCCTGCGATAATACATACAGATAAAACCTGCCCTTTTATGATCTAAATGTCAAAAACGGAGCTCATATCATAGACCGGCAATATTTTCTCTTTCTTTAGACGTGGACTCGTCCAGAGATGTCCCAATCCGCCAATGAAGAATTTGATTTCTCTGGGCGGTCAGCACCAGGGTGTCTACGGATTGCCCAACTGCGGTTCCCTGTCGAGCACCATTTGTGATTACTTGAGGCAATTGTTGAACAAGGCTGCATATTTGGAGTAAGTTGAGGGTTCGCACGAAACGTTGTACCCGGAGTCGCGTTTAATTGCAGATGGGTGCAAAATTCGCTAGTGCAAGCGACCTACTGGCACGACCCGTTAAACGAAGAGGAGTATCGAAACCACAGCACTTTTCTGGCAGACATCAATAACGAAAGGGTCGTCAACCAAACGTACATCAAGAATCTGCAGACTCTGCAGAACTTCGTGATGGTGAAGTTTGCCAACGACACCATGGTGCAACCGGTCGACAGCGAATGGTTCGGTTTCTACAAACCGGGACAGGCTGTCCAAGTCCAGAGCTTGGAAGAGTCCCAACTATATACAGAAGTACGAATTTGAGCTAGTCCAATTTCTTGTTGATAAATAAACTTGTTTGTCTAACTGCAGGACCGGCTGGGTCTCAAACGAATGAACGAAGATTCTAAGCTGAAGTTCATTTCCATCCCCACCAATCATCTGAGGTTCGAGTGGGACTGGTTCGAAGAGAACATCGTAAAGTCGTATCTGAAAACCTAAATTTAAACTATTTTGGAATGCAACTGTGATAATTTCATCAAAATTAGAAAAAAATAATTATTGCCAACAATTCATCAATAAATGTTTTGCAAAAATTTGGTGTTATGTTATTATCGGTACTTCGTAAGCGTCAGTGAGACAAACTCAACATCCTACGCAGGAGAAGTCTAGATTTATACAAGTTGAGTCAACGTAAAGTCCATTATCTCATTGGTTTCAAAAGTTATGAGAAATGGTTAATAAACAGCTTTTGAAAATTGTTAGGATGCACAATTCAAAATTATTTTGAAGAATACAGGGTGGCTTAAAAAAGCGAGATGAATAATACCTAAGCTATCCTTGAACATAACGCAGATTAATTTACTTTTTATGTTAATTCAAAATTTTACAGTTATTTGCACCAAAATCGCTAACAAAATTCTTTCTCCTGTTAATAGTTGGGCCAACTAATTTTATAGCAAAAGTCTTAGACAAAAAGGAGGGTAAATATTGTTAAAATAAAAAAAAATAAGTTAAAACAAGTCGCAAAGTATTAAAAATATACATAAAAAGAATTATTATTGTAGGCAGTTGCCGGAAAGCAGTAGGATTTGTTTGTTGTTTGATACTGCAATTCACACTAACTTTTTAAGGCTATTCAAAACTAACCCTGGTAAACTAGACGAGTAGTTCATATTAATATGTATTCCAAAAAGTATACATATCATTATTTACAGGAATAAAAACCAATAAATTAATAAATTAAAAATTATGTATGCTCCGTAAGTTAGCACAACCCCTGCAGTAAGCTTTTTAAATAAGTAAATTTTGAAAAGAGCTTTGTATTTTTGAACATTATGATTTAGTAAATCATATGGGGAAGATTTATAAATGATGTCACAAGCAAAACTTTTTAACTGTACTTTTTCGGTATTAAAAACTTTAATTTATTTCTGGTATCTCTGTTATGCATACCAGAGTTCAACTTGAATTTATTTTGCAAACCTTTGTAAAGTAAGAAACAACAACAACCCAAATGATAAGTCGTTCGATAAAAAATGTGCAACCACTGAAGTTTATTAATTTTGTGTGTTATATGACCTGACTTTGTTAGGATAAATATCACACGACAGCAACTATAGTGCACCTTTCAAATGCTATACTGTTTGTCTTCTTGCCAATTTAATTTGGATTTGAAGGCGTTCAGTTTTAACACGTCTTCCACAGAAAGATCCTTTAGTAGATTTAAATCAGAACAAATGACCTCCGTATATTGAAACATATACTTTATCTAAGGCCAAAGCATGGTTTTCAGCAAATAATCTACAACTGAATGAAGCTAAAACGAAGAATTTATTAGTGTCTAGTAGCAGTAGGTTGACATGTGGCATGGGATGCAAGATTACCTTGGATGATACTCTGAGTTGGTCAGAACACATTGGCGAGCAAAGTAAAAATCTTTCAAATATCCATTTTCTTTTGCGTCAACTTCGCAGAACGGTGAGTTTTGATGTGTTGAACTCAACTTACTTTGGTTAATTTCACTCGCGTATAAACTATGCCACCATACCGCGGGGTAACTCCTCTAATGCCATTAAAATATTTAGGATGCAAAAAAAGGCACTACTCTAAGCGATTGTTTATTAAACATAAAATAATGACGTTCCATGTTCCGAAGTGTTCTTGAGATACACTCCACTCCGATAGTTTGCCGAGGGATTCTGATTCTCATAAGTATGACGCCCGAAGTGCAAGTAATCTCGTGCTTCCGAGATACAGGTTGCAGAAATAAAAACAAAACTCTCCTTATATAAAACTTTATAACGCATTGCCACAATCTTTTGAAATTTTAAACGAAAAACATTTTAAATATAAAATGAAAAGTTTTTTCTAAGTAAGGGCTACTATAGCGAATTTTTTGAAGAAAACATCGGTAATGACGTGTTGCGGGGTATTGTGCATATTTTAATGATTGTTTTGTATGTATGACTTGCTACAAACAATGATATTGTAAAGTAGTCAATAAACCGTCTATCTATCTATCTATAAGTATTAAAATCAGTCCAAGAAATGTGTTAATAAAGCTGTGTGACATCAGCAAAATCTTGCACCTTGTCTAAGGTAGTAGAGTCATGTTTGGCAAGAGTGCGCATTTTTTTTTCTATGGTCATAAAAATGTAATAATTGTACAAAATAAATTGAAATAAAAGTATTTATTTAAAGGGTTTATTGATTTAACAATTACGTAACATGAAATTCAATTTTATTAATTGTAATTAAAGAAATAAAATAAAATAAATGTTAGTCAGAATGCGCACACTTACCCCAATATCGGGGTAAACGTGCGCAGCACTGCGGGTAAGTGTGCGCATTTGTAATAATTTAAACCATAACTTGTTACATATAGTTACACCATATTTAATGTTATAAATATTATTTTTTATCAATACTTATCATTTTTTACTTCATTTTTTATATTTATATATTAAATATATAATTTTTGACAAATACTGTTTAACTTGATTTTTATCGAGAATAACGCTTAGAGTAGTTAACAGTTTTGAATAGAGATAAATTCAAATGAGATCGTTTTTAACGAATATGATAAAATCTTAATTATTAGAACATATATCACATATGAAAGCACCAGTTTCATAATGAATGCACTGTTCATGCCACCAGCTATGACATAAGCTACATTTAATCCAATCCTCTGTAGGTGGATCAACGTATTTTTCACCACACAATGCACAATAATCATCATTTTCCTTAAAATCATTAATATTTTCTTGACTAGCCTTAACTTTAACAGCCTTATCTTTGGTAGTAGTATTCTTCTTTGCTTTCTTTTTAGAATTTTCAGTTTTATTTGCACAAGCATTTTCTTGTTTCAATTCTAAACGTCGTTTCTTTTTAGCTATTTTTTCTTCTTCTTCCTGACTTTTTTTTTCCAATTCTAATTTGAAAGGGCTATCAGTAGCGACAATAGATTTTTTACCTTTTCTACGTCTTGTTTGTTCTTTCGCTTTCGGAAACGGTTGGATTGATGACAAAGGTGTATAAAAATTAGAACATGTATCTGCAGCTGATGATGGAGTCACTACAACTAAAGCTAAATCTGTTACAGTGCTCACGTGTGATGAAGTTGGTAGTGGATACAATGTTGAAGACGTACTCGGTTGAAGTTCTGATACAGTTAAAGCATTAGAAGTACTTGGCAAAGAATCTGATGTAGAAAATGCAGTAGATCTATTAGCTGTGATATTCTGTGAGCTACTTTTCTCAGATGATGTAGATGGAAGGTTTATGTCAGTAACAGAAGCTGCTGCGAAATCTTCTTCTGAAAAAATTTCTCTATCGATAGACCATATCCCAGAAGTTCTAAAACCTGAAGTAGCATTATTAACAGTTGCGACTTTTTTTAAAGCTTTGAATCGCTTCCTGAGAGTACTCTCTTTCATTCCAACCTGTTTAGCTGCTTTTCTTTTACTTAAACCTTCGGCGATCAATCGCTTAGCAGCATCAAATTGATCACGGGTAACAACGGACCTGTGTGGAGCCTTCCGCTTGTAATTTCGGGGCATTGTAGTTTTTTTTTAAGAAATATATAAGTATAACCTGAAACAAATAACAACGAGTGTCAATACACAAAGAATTCACTATCGGGGTAAAAGTACGCATTAAAATATGCGTACTCTTACCCCACAACCGTATGCGTACACTTAACCCTAATCGCCTTTACAGATTTAGTTTAAAATTACACATTTTTGCGTCATTCTACCAAGTTTTGATGTATAGCTGATAAAATTAGATATATAAACGAGCATAATTGGACATAATTAATACTAATTATCGCTACATAAATATAAAAGTATTTGAATTCTAAATTGGAAAAAATCGTAAGAATAAAAACCAAAATTTTTACTTACCCATATTACTAAAACTACGTAACTTTGCCAGACAAGACTCTAGTCTTTTGTCCAACGTCGTAGTGACTACTGAAGGCAGTTTTATAAATAATAAGCCTGCGCACACTTACCCGCTGCCCCACATGACTCTAAGTACATTTAAGAAGCTAAGTGTGGATTATAAAAAATATAGAAATATAGGACCCAGTATAGAGCCCGCTGGTCTCCGAAGAAACATCGTCCACCAGAACTTGTTATGATAAGATCTGACAAGATTTAATGATCCATTCTGAAACCCATAATACCCAAGTTTGAATAATAAGAGACGGTGGCCAATCGTATCGATTGCTTTCGAGTAATCATGGGTCATCGCAAGGGACGAAGATGGACTAAATCTTTAACGAAACCCGGGACAATTTTTTCATTATTAAGTGTAATAGAGTGTTTTGGTTTTGAGAGTTTCGGAAGTAGTTAGAAAAAATTGGCCTAGCGCTCATTCGAGGACTAGCATTAAAAGATAAGTAACTTGTACAAGAAGGTGACTCATTAATATTGTTTACAATTTTATAAAGAAAAATTACGTCCAAGCAATTTCTGCGTGTTTCAAGCGACCTCAATTTATAAGACTGTAGTGCGTGAAAATAGTGTCTGTTCGTATTGCGTCTAAAGCGAAGGTTTCGAAAAAGCTTTTTTTATGCGATAGATCAGATTCCATACAGTGGATGAGTATTCCAAGATGGATTTGATGACGCTATTATAAATTAGAATGACTGATTTGTGGTTGCGAAAGCCCCTGGTATTGCGTAAAACAAAACCAAGATTTCTCAAGCCCCTCTTTACAATATTTTCTACATGTGCTTCAAATTCTAACGATCACGCCTAAATCTTTAAGTTGAGTAACTCTCTTAAGTTTTATATTGTCCAATTTTCAGTCAATATTAATAGGTTCTTTTTTCCAAACTGCATTATTTGGCATTTATAGATATGTCTGTGATTTTTACTGTTATATAGAGATCATTCTGGAGTTCTAAAATGTCCGATTGGGAATGAATTTCTTTTTTTACTTTTACTCATCTGCAAATGAGGCTGCTACTGAATACTGAAAACAGCTTCCAATATCAAATATAAAAATATTAAAAAGTAAGGGTTCCAGTGTGACCCTGAGGGCCTTCAGACATTATTTTCGCATAAGGCGAC